ATCCTGGATAGTTTCTTCATATATGTTTAGTTGAATAGTCAGTGAATTTAAGTTGCATAAAGTTTTCATGTGTTTAAATAAAAAAAAAAACTGCAGTCATAAAGAAGAGCTCAATAGTAGTTTTCTAAAACAATCTGTAAAACTGATTTTCAGAAATAGGTATTTTCATTAAATGTACATTTAGTTGTACATTTTGGTACAGGAATCTGCCAGTTGTATATCTCATTTTTATAGCCCTCTCTCCAACTAATACAGTAAAAATCAATTGCCCTTTCCCATTTGTTCACCTGTCCCTGAGTGATACTTAGTTCTGTAAAGTATGGAAGCTAGGTGGTAAGATGATTAACTCAGATAATTTTCCTGGTCCTGTTGAATCCTAGGATGTGAAGTTTAACTTATATGAAGTTTGCCTATTTTCATAGCTACCTAGATCAGTGGAATGAGAGAATTTAGGTAACTAGAGTCTAATCCTCATTTTGAGGGAACATTAAAAAACAAAGAAGAAAATGCTAATAATATGCACCCCTGTGTGCTGAGATGGTGGAGTGGGCATGACTTGTCATATGACTCATTCACAAACCCAATGCTCCTTGTGAAAATTACCACTATGCAGATGTTCTCCCCTCCCCCATCCTCTTAACCACCAGGTGAGGCAACTGAAAACTTCATCCACTAATTCATTCCAGCCAGAGACAAAGACCTGTTTTTTTGTTTTTTTTTCTGTGAGAGTTGGCTTCCACTTCCAAAATGCTAATTGGCATCAGCTGCATTCAAACACCACGGAGGCTGGGGGCAGGGTGGGGGCTTGGGGGAGGCAAGCAGCTGCCTCACGGAAAAAAACAGAAGGAAGTCTTCCTTTCTTTCCAAAAAGACCTCCCTGTCAGATCACCCTGTTCTTTTCCTTTTTTTCTTCTCTTTTCTTTTTTTAGTTTTTTTTTCTTCCATTTGTGTAAGATGTGGCCCCCTAAAGAAGAAAGGTCACAATAATTTGCACTTTGACAATACAAAATATATAAAGCCATGTAATTTTGCCAATCCAGTTTTCTTTTCATATGTGGGATTTGTTATTGTTTTTACTTTTCAGTTCCAGCCAGTCCCAAGTTTGTTTAGTGTAGTATCTTCTTTAGCTAAATAAGCTGTTTGTTTTGGTGGTAATGGTAGTGTTACTGCGCATTACCAGTGAAAGTTCCCTTTCCCCATAGGGTGAAGTTGGAATACCTGAGAAATGCTAAGGCAAGTGTAGAAAGCAAATTTTATTTAAAGAAAATATTAACACAAGAAGGGGTCCCAGAGCTGGGTGTYCATGAGAGGGATGAATCTTGTTTTTCAGTTTACAGGTTTTCTGTCCTTTTATCCCACCTATGCAGCAAAAAGGTAGAAAAGGAGCAATTCAGGGATACCTATCCCCAGTTAGCAGGGGAGCAGTCCAGGGAATGCTCATTAATAACTCCCCACTGGGAGGACTGTCCCTCTGGAGGCAGGTGACTTTGGCCTTGAGTGAGGGGGAGGGGGATGTGTCCTAAAGGCATTAACATTTCAATATCCCAGGGTAATCGACTTTGGCCAAGAGTGTAGGGGATGCATCCTGCAGTATTAGCATTTTCTTTCCCTTTGAAGCAGCTTCCATCTTCCTGATCTGACCATCTGTCTACACTAACTGCCTGACCTATGTCTTGCTTCATTGGTACATACTGTGTAGTGTTAGCCTGAGACCACCAAACTTCTGTATTTCACCTTGTTGCCACGGCATTAATGTATATATGCACAAGTGTTCTGTGTATCTTAATCTTGCACCAATACAGTTTAGTAATAAATATTCTTTAATACCAGCAAAAAAATATGCTTTATATAATGGTTATATCCCACCCACCCCCATTTGGCATAAAATTTGCAACAATTCCAAAGGGAGACTGGAACTCAGAAGTTGGTTCAACATAGAATACTGTATATTCTGTATAATAGCATTAGTCATAATTAGGATTCCAGTTGTAGTTGGCTCAGAGCCATTGGGCAGATTCTGTATTTCTGATTTTTTTTTCCTTCCAGGAGTGGGCATTCATAATTAGACAGAGAATGACAATTAGTGGTGCTAAATGTCCTTTTATTTCATGTCTATTAATCATTTATTTTAAAATCATAAAAGAGGGAATATTCAAAGTATCTGTATACATTATCCTAAACCAATAATTTTGAGAGAATATGATTTTCATGTGCTTCAGAATTTGACTCCTCAAGACCTGGGAAATAGTTTTGAAAGAGACATTGGTCTGATCACTATATTTCTAGATGATATTTAAATTGTTCAGTCTTGTTAAAAAAGCTATTATCCTACTTGATTGCATTTAAGTTGTTCTTATGTTTCATTGATTCCAAGGTGCAGCCCAGTTCTGAAGATGTTACAGTGTGAGTCCTATGGTTCCTGATGCATCATGGTTTCATTACATAAAGTAATGGTGTGTCTCTATCAGTTAAATATGCCCCAGGATACTCTGTCAGCCATTTTTACCAATATCTATATGTGGTCTATGGGAGCACCAGCATGGTACTGAACCCGTAAGCACTCCAAAATGTGTGCTTGATTTCTGTCTCATTGGGATATGAAAACATCAAGTGACCTGGAAGACTCTGATTCCTGTCACTAAAAGAAAAAAATTCATTGAAATTCATCAAAAATGTCATGATCCTTAATTATGGATCAGGTTTCTCATAGATAGTCTTTTTTTTTTTTTGAGGGGATTGAACTCAGGGGCACTCGACCACTGAGCCACATCTTCTTTCTTTCTTTCTTTCTCATGGTGTCATTAAAAAAAATACCTTTATTTGTTTATTTTTATGTGGAGGTTGTTTTTGAACTCGTTGTCTTCCTGTCTCAGCCTCCCAAGCCACTGGGATTACAAGCATGCTCCACTGCACCTGGCTTCTCATGGATGCTCTTGAACAGCATTTACTTTTTGTCAAGAAGTGAAATGTGTTGGCAGAGTATGAGAGGAACAGTGACCCTGGTAATAGTTTCACTAGGAGTAGGCATTGAAGGGAAGAAGGGGTAAGGGACAAAACAAGCCTCTGTAATCCAATAAATTCATAAAGTATGCAAAGTAATCAGCTGGCCGATCTTTCTACTAAGATAAAATAAAATTAATATTTTGACTTTTTTCCTTTTATAGTGCAATATTGCTCTTTTTTGTGTTTGTGAAAGCTTATAGGTTACTTATTTTGAACAAGAATAGAAAAATCAAACCTTTCTGATCACCTGCCTGCAGTAAATGAATATTTGGGTCAGTGAGCCCTTTCAATAGGGCCATAAAGGGCATTCAGTAGGAATCTGATTGTGGTTTTTTGACATGTTCTAATTTTTTTAAAGAACCTTTCTGTCGGGGCTGGGGATGTGGCTCAAGCGGTAGCGCGCTTGCCTGGCATGCGTGCGGCCCAGGTTCGATCCTCAGCACCACATACAAACAAAGATGTTGTGTCTGCCGAAAACTAAAAAAATAAATATTAATTTTTTTTTTTTTTTTTTTAAAGAACCTTTCTGTCTTGACAGGATCTCCTTAGGGTTGTCCTGGACTGTTTCGTACTTGGACCATGTAGGTGGCTTCTCTAAAGCATGTTGTGGAGAGTTCAGAGCAAACAGACTCAATATGCCCCCTGCCAATGAGCAGGGACATTACTGTATTATGTCCATCATTTTTGGTGTATGAATGTGAGTGCATAGAAAAAGCACAAGTAAAGCTTTTGATGAATTGGACTTTCTGGTTTTCTTTGGGGTCTGCTTCCTGGTACTGTTAATAAAAATCACCACCCTGTTCTGTTTTAGTATAAGATTCCTTTTGAAGAAAGATCTTAAACAGGTCTGTTTTTCTATATTGGCCAATCTCAATACTGGTTTTGTTTGTAATTAAGACACTTTTATTGAGTATTTTATTTTTCATTGCTCCTTTCTTCATGGCAGTATTTAAATCACAGATGGAAGGTTTTCCTATGTGTGGGGTTAGAATGAGAATTATTTTGTAGACTGTACTTTTGGCCATGTGATTTCTGTTGCTGTATTGGTAGTTATCATCTATTAATGCTCTAAGGCACTGTGTTTATGGAGTATACTCTTATAATATTTACACCAAGCAGGAAAGCTACCATTTTGAGAATCACTACTTTAGGGTGTCTACATGTCTTATTCTGCTTGGTTTCCAAAGCAGTAATGCACAACTGGATTATTTATTTATTTTCCTTTCCCCATTTCTTCTCATCATTAATGTCTAATTAATGATATTGATAGGACCTTCCTTCATTCTTCCTTCCTGCCTCCCTCCCTGCTTTGCCTCATCCCTCCCCTCCTCTCCCCTCCCCTCAGGTACTTAACCTCTCAGCCACATCTCCCAGACCTTTTATTTTGAGGTAGAGTGTTGCTTAGTTGCTTTGACCTTGCAATCCTCCTGTTTCAGCCTCCTGAGTCCCTTGAATTACAGGCATGTGCCACCACACCCACCTGAGCTTTCATCTAAAATATATTTATAAACTGAATTTCCTTAGGTTCTGGAGATGCTAGGCTAAAGCAGTAGGCATCTTCAGATTGTTGTGTGTGTGCACATATATGCTTGTTTATGAGTGTGCTCTGTTGCTTTTTTTCACGACCTCCAAGTTGTCCCTGGCTGGAATTTCTTCCCTAGGTGTATGTAAGAGAAAAGTGAAGACCACAGGCCTCTTAGCTCTCATCTTTCATAAGAACAGTTTTTTTTTTCTTTCAGATTTATACCACCATTTGTTTCCTTCATTCCCCTAATCCTCCATCTCACCCAAAGTCATCTTTTCTTCCATTGCTTATCTTATTTTAATAAGAGAATACAGGAGAGCCAAGTTTGAAACCCTGAGGATGAAGCAATCTTTTGTTTCTTGAGGGACAGAGAACTTTAGCTTCTTTTGTTATTGCATATGTGGGGGGGAAAATAAAGTCCCCTATATCATTCAAAAGCTGTGTGTTGTTTTTTCCTCCCCCCTCTCTTAAGGATGAAGAAGAAGAAATCAAACTGGAGATAAACATGCTGAAGAAATATTCTCATCATAGAAATATTGCAACATATTATGGTGCTTTCATTAAAAAGAGCCCCCCAGGACACGATGACCAACTCTGGGTAGGCATGTGTTTCTGAGTATTTTGTGGGCTTTTCTTTGTGGTATATTCTTAAGCGCATTAAGAATTGTGCCAGGGTAGACCAGAAACAATGGAATTCCAAGAAGAAAACATAGGATCAGCACTCTAGTACATCAGGCACAGGCAGTGACTTTCTCAATATAACAAGCAAAGGAAATAATGCACAGAGTTAATAAATGAAATGTATCAAATTAAAAAGTTTTTGCACAGCAAAGGGAACAATTGGGAATGAGAAGAACAAACCCACAGAATGGGAGAATTTTTTTTTTAAGAGAGAGAGAGATAATTTTTTAATATTTATTTTTTAGTTTTCGGCGGACACAACATCGTTGTTTGTATGTGGTGCTGAGGATGGAACCTGGCCTGCATGCATGCCAGGCGAGTGCGCTACCGCTTGAGCTACATCCACAGCCCAGGGAGAAAATATTTGCTAACTATACTTCTGACAGAGGACTAATGTCTAGAATATATAAAGAACTCACTTCACACTAAAAAAACAAATAACCCAATTAATAAATGTGCAAACAAATTAAACAGATACTTCTCAAAAAAAGAAACACAGATGGCTAACAAACATGAAATAATGTTAAACATCATTAGTAATTTTGGGGGAAACACAAATCAAAACTACACCAACATTTTCTCTCACACCAAGTAAGAATGGTAATCATCAAGAATACAAACAATAGCTGGGTGCAGCGGTGCACACCTGTAATCCCAGTAGCTAAGGCAGCTGAGGCAGGAGCATCAAAGCCAGCATCAGCAAAAGCAAGGTGCTAAGCAACTCAGTGAGACATTGTCTCTAAATAAAATACAAAATAGGGCTGGGGTTATGGCTCAGTGGTTGAGTGCCCATGAGTTCAATCCCTGGTGGGCCCCCCACCCAATCCCCCAGAGAGGGAGTGAGTTAGGGGAGAGAAACAACAGAGGAAAAGGGACCAAAGGGTGGGAGATAAGGAAGCAAGGGAAAGTTCTGGGGAATATATTGGCCAAATTATATTGTAGTATTGTGTGCATGTACCCATATGTAACATTATTATTTACAACTACAATCACCAACAAAAAATATGGAGAAAAAGAACTTAGCAAGGGACAGGAATGAAAAGCAAAGAAAGGTCAGTAGCTGGTGGATTCTAAATGCTTCCTTGGCCTTTGTTGTTGAAGATAAACTAAATGTTTACTTTGCTGTTGATTTCACACATTGCATGGAAAAAAGTTAGCTTTGTCTTTCAGGAACAATCTTCCAGGAGGAATGTGACCATATAATAGCAAGGAAATTAGGATCTTGGAAGAAAAATAATACGAATTTTATGTGGGAGCCAGTTGATATGAAAACTCAGTGAATTTCTTCTTTTTTTGTAACTACCTGGAAGTGAGGCAAAGAATATAAGAAAATTTTTGTCAATCAAGAATTAATGATAATACTTAATTTAAAAACGGTAAATATTTAGGAAAATTTCTGAAATCAACACTTTGTAGCCTTATATCTTCATGAAGACATTTTTATTCAAGATGATGTTTCACATTAGTTAGAAGGGAAAAAATACTCTTATTATCTAACTTCAGTCATTAAATTTTTAGAATAGTTAATTTCTGTTTATATACAAATAAATAAAGCTGTGATCATTTTTCTATCAGATATAAATACTGCATTAAAATTATGTAATTTCTAAAAAATAGCATTATCCTTTTAAATTAAACCCAGTTGATACGAAATGATTTAATAATGATAAAGTATGAAAAATAGAACATGTTTGAGGTTAAAATGAGAAAGAACGTAAGAGCGCACTTGAATCTGATTTCTGATAATTGGGCAGTGATAAAGAACAAATGGCACTTTTGTGCCCACATGCTTAGAAGAGGCATCTTGGCTGGTACATGCCATAGAGTGTTAGGCATTCCCAGTCTCTCAGACCACATGTGCAGAGTGAATACACAGGGGCATGGAATGAGCTGTCATTAACTTGGATGCCTCTGAAATGAACACATGTCTAAGTGTCCAGGAAAGGGAGTGAATGGAACTGCATTTCCTCACTTCTCTGCAAGGTAAGTGTACTGAAAGCTGGTGTGTTAATCACAATGTGTCTTGTCTGCCCTGTAGCTTGTTATGGAGTTCTGTGGGGCTGGGTCCATCACAGACCTTGTGAAGAACACCAAAGGAAACACACTCAAAGAAGACTGGATTGCTTACATCTCCAGAGAGATCCTGAGGGTAAGGAAAGCAGGAGCTACCGTGCCTCAGTGGTGATCTTGTATTTACATTTGCATTTTCCTAGTTCCATTGTTGTCTTTACATTAGTTATACCTATCAGATAATTCTATTTTTGACAACCTAGGTCTCTGTATAGCCATCTAGGTTTCGTGGTTTAAGCAGAAAGTATACTTTTCTGTGTGGGTGTGGCACTTGAACCCAAGGCCTTGTGCATGTGAGGCAAGCACTCTACCAACTGAGCTATATCCCCAGCCCACCTAAAGAAAGTATACTTAAACAAAAAAAAAAAAATTAATTTTTTATATCCACAGACTGTGCATGTGTGGATCAAAAATATTCAAAAAAATAATCGCTTTGTACTGAGATTGTAGACTTATCATTACTCCCTAAATGATAAAATAGCAAATTATTTATGTAGCTATGATACTGTATTAGCTATTATAAGTGATCTAGATGTGATTTAAAGTATATGGTAGAATGTGTGTAGGTTATATGAAGATACCATACCATTTTAAATAAGGGACTTGAGCATCCTTAGATTTTTGGTATAAGAAGGTGTTGAGGGATACCATGGCATAAGCACTCTTCCCTCCCACCTGGACACCCAGGGACATCTGTAGTTTTTGTGTGTTTCTCCGAATTTGTGTTCAGACCTAATTGCAGTGGGAATTTCCTTTGGAGATTTAAAAGGAAATCAAGAGTGGAAGGAAGAGAAATAATCTCAAAACTATTGGTTTTAAATGGCATCCTGTGCTTAATAAATCAAGGTTCATTGTGCTAAATGCTGGTTTCAAAATCATCTTGCAGACTTTGGTATTAGGTGATAGAATCTGTAGCAGTATTTACAAAGAATAATTCTAATGTTTAATGTTATTTATAGCCAGTTGCAAAGCTGCCTAATGATCTTAGAGTAAGGTTCTGAACTGCTGTTTTAGCAGCAGTGGTTTCTTTAATAATAAAGTCATTATGATACATTGGCAGAGGGTTTTTAGGATTTCATATTTTAAAGTTGTACGCAACTTACTAATAGGTGTCCTTTTTTATTCAGCCATTACCATGTTTCTTTCTACTTTAACCCTAAATTACAAACTTAAATTACTTGATGCACTTTTATTTACCTACCATGTTTTAAAAATAAACACTGTGTTGTTAAAATGAAATCTAGTTCTTCTGCTTTCCCCACTAATTAAAAAAAAAAAAAAACCAACTTCAATTTAGTAGTTATTTTATTTCTTTATGTAGGTAAAGTCAGTAGCTTTACCTATATAAAGAAGAAACAAAATATAAGATTCATACAGGGCTACAGATTTAAAAACTGCCATATAGAATTCCTAAATAAATGTTTAGTTTCTTTTTATTTAAATAGTCTACCAATAGGAAGTGTAGTGGTACATGGACCATATTTTTATAATCATATGCACATATCACTGTTATATTAAAATATGAGTCTTTTATGGTTATTGTAGGAAGCAGAGCCTAAAAGTGAGAAGCTAATTAGCCTGTCCTACGCAAGTGAAGAATTACAGTAAACAGCAGGCAGGATGAAACCATGGTTAAGAGGTTTTGATGGTGGAGTCAGTCACAACTGGGTTTGAGTCCTGCTGCTGCTTCTGCTCATTTACTGTGTACTTTCTGGGCATCACAGAGACCAACTATGAAATTACTGTTGTTGGAATTAAATCTGTGTTCATGAAGCACTTATTGTATTCTGTACATATGTGTTGTTACTATGTAGTTAGTATTCTCTGTTTGAACATGTATACAGTGTCTTTTTTGTGTATAATTCTATGATGTGATTTCTTAAGCAGGGAATTATTAGCTTCTAGCATAATGTCCCAGATGTCAAAGACATCAAAGATAGTTTATATTTTTTTGTATACCCAACAAGCATTGTTTACCTGTCATGTATAATATGTACATTTAACTATCTTACTACCATCAATCTCAGGCAGCATTGAAAAGAAACTGCATTTGTTTGTAGCTCCTAATCAACTTCAGTGTGATAGGCAAATGGACATCTTTTTGTGATGCTACAATTCTTTTCCATCTCTGAGTCTCTAAAACAAGAAGTTTCTTACTGTCATCTAGAATGGGAGTTTTTCCTACAACAAAAGTTCAGATTAAAGCATACAAATGCCTTATGGAGAGTTAGTGTATCTCTTCTGATGTGTATTTGTTACAGGAGTTGCCAAGAGTTGGCTTTGGTAGAGAAAGTGGAATAATAAGATGAAGTTGAGGTTTCATGCAAAAGGAGGGCAACCACCACTGAACAGATAACCTGGTTTATCACAGACATGGTTGTGGGTAGCAGGTATCTGTAGTGACAAAACTTTTCCCTGTTCCTTAATAGATAAAAGATAATAGATTTAGATGATATGTTGAGCTCTTCTAAGGGGCAAGGGTTGGGAATATGTAGGCCTCAGCCCTCAGCAGAAGTGTTCTCTTAGGCCAACCCACTGAAACTCTCTGGACCACAAAGTTTACCAGCAAGCCAGTATGTTTTTTTTAGTGCACTTCCACATTTATATTCTGTGCAATAGCTTCTCATTTATATAGAAACTGGTATTTCATACGTAGAATGTGCACCTAGAGCTTTCTATAACCACTGCTGAGGAATATCCTTTGTTTTTTTCAGGAAAAATATTTCCTAGTTTTGAAACGTTGATTAGTTTCCTTGAGCATGCGGTATTTACTGAGTATTTCTGACTTATCTCTGCTGAGGAGAAGTAATTGTGGCCTGTCTTCTGGCAAGAGAATAGTCACAAACAGTCCTGGGTACTTCATACAGAAAATGTATTCATTGTTCTGAATAATCATAACTGAAGTTAACATCATTACCGAGCTGTTAAGACACACCTTGAGCAGTTTTCCAAGCAGAAGTTGTGATCCCTTAGCAGTGTGTGGACAGGAAGATAGGCATGGTTCCATGTGCATTTACTGCTAGCAATGAAACAAGATGTAGGCCTACATGGGTTTGAGAAGACATGGATACTTAATGTTTGTTGCTAAGCCTGTGAAAGTATAAGAATAGGGTTTTGTAAGTTAGAGAACAAATTCATGTGAAGTAATAGAAGTAGACTTTTTTTTTTWAAAAAAAATATTTATTTATTTATTTTTTTAGTTCTCGGCGGACACAACATCTTTGTTGGTATGTGGTGCTGAGGATCGAACCCTGGCCGCACGCATGCCAGGCGAGCGCACTACCGCTTGAGCCACATCCCCAGCCCAGAAGTAGACATTTTTGTCTCCTTGGCTCTTCCATGTCAAATCATGCTAACAGGAGGACATATTTCCTTTCTATCTAACTAGGGCACTAAGGGACCATATATTTTTAGACATTTTTCTCTATTCAGTGCTTATTGGGATAATATGCACATCCCATGTTATAAAGAGTAAACAGCCATCAAATAAGGTATTTTATTTCATAGGCAGAATAATAAATGAATTTAGAGCCCCCCATGTTAGAAAAATTTATCTTCTACAGTGACTATTATATTTAATTCATATCCTACGAAGTAATGTTAATAACAAATCTCATAAAAATAATCAAATCCTTATTCGTGATCTACCTTTTAAAAAAGTTTTTTTTTTTGTTGTTTTTTTGCAGTTGTAAATGGACAACATACTTTTATTTATTTTTTATGTGGTGCTAAGGATTGAACCCAGTGCCCCACAAGTGCTAGACAAGTGCTCTACCACTGAGCTATAGCCTCAGCCCTGATCTACACTTTTTGATCAAGATGTTTCAGAGTATATAGGTTGCTGGTAGGAGACAGGCTTCATATTTAGCTTCTCCAGTTAAGGATAAAACAAATCAGTTGTGAGAATGATGGCTGCTATCTTTCAGACCATATTTGGATGCAGCATGTGGTTTTGTTCCTCTACTACCTCTCAAGAGAGACATGCTCTTGGGCTTCATTCCAGATAGAAGGTCATCAAAAAATGCTAAATGCCCAGTAGGGTTTGTTTTCTTGGGAAAGAAAGATATTTTAATTCAACACAAGGCTCTTTTCAGAATCATTTTACACTTTGGGTAGAGGTGGGATTGATGAACACTTAGCAGTTTGTCACTGTACAGTGGGAAGACAAGATGACATTTTATAACTAGATTTAAATCCGCTCTAGCCCTTTGTTTTTCTTTTGGGATTTGTCTAGTGCAAATATACCCATGGTCACCCACTGAAAGATAGACATTGGCATGGGAAAGGAACCACCCTGTACACAAATAGCCCAAATTATAGCAGAGAAACTGTAGATGGTAATCTAAAGTGTGTCTTAAAGGCACAGCTCACAAGTGCTCATGTTGCGGAGGGGAAAACTAGCCAGTTGAAATTRTGGTTAGGTGGGTTTCTTCTGTATGATAGTATTGGTGATGTCTTCCTAGGTATGTGCTAAAAGAAAATTTTATGTCCCAATTATGAACTTAAGATAACTTTTTGGATCATGTATACTTTGTTACAAAAGGTGTGTTGCTGGCTGTTTACTAACAGGGACAAAGAACTAAAATTCTAATCTGTCTGTCCTTTTCAGGGACTGGCACATCTTCACATTCACCATGTGATTCACCGGGATATCAAGGGCCAGAATGTGTTGCTTACGGAGAATGCAGAGGTGAAACTTGGTATGTGAGGGATGTGTGGCATACTTGCCCCTCAGGCAACTTGCTGCCCTGTTTACATTTAGCTAAAAGTTCATTCTTTTTTTTTTTTAATATTTATTTTTTAGTTTTTTAGGTGAATACGGTATCTTTATTTTATTTTTATGTGGTGCTGAGGATCAAACCCAGTGCCTCACAGGTGCTAAGCAAGTGCTCTACCACTTAAGCTACAACCCAAGCTTCTAAAAGTTTATTCTTTTACCCATGTTTTCTGTTTCTGTTCCTGTTCTTAAAAATGTGGGCCTGGGCTTACTGCTTAGCCAGGCTCCAACCTCCTTTCTCTTGGGCTTCTCCTCTGATTTGTTCTCTGTACAGAAGCCAACTAACTGATTGAGACCATGTCACATTCCTGCTTAAAGACCCTTAGTGGCTTCCTATTTTACTTTAGATAAAATACACTTGAATTCTGCTGGTCCATAAAAAGCCTTGTAGGAACTGGCTCCTACTATTTTCCCACCCCATTTTGTGAGCCTCTTTTATTTCCTTTCTCAATCACTGTTTTTTTTCTCCCCACTTCTTAGAACTTGCCTCAGGGTTTTTGCACATACTGTTCCCCATTTGAAAGATTTAACCTCTATTTTGAAACCAAAAGTTTTCTCCTCATCTGCAGGAGGCTTTATTTGGCTCTCTTATCTGTCTTGGGCTGTGTTTCTTTTTCCTTTCCCAGCACTGTTCACAATTTATAATTACATGATTATTTATTTTCTTGTATTTCTGTCTCCTTACCAGAATTTAAGATCTGAGAGTTTATGACCAGGATTGTTTTGTTGTTTACCAGTATATTCTTACCCAACACCTAGTATGTTGCCTCCAGTGTGGTAGATTTTTGCTAAATTTCTGCATGGATAGATAATTGTAGACTCTGGCTGTCCCAGAGATGGCTTTCCAATGATTTTTAAAAAATATTTTCTGTTTCCCTTAGCTGGATCTGAACTTCTTCCCATCTAGTTTCATATAATGGTTCTTTGAAGTTTTTTTAAAGTCTGTTAGAATTAATTTTTCTTTCATTGAAACATTATACAAACACTTTTTATCCTTATGCTTACAAGAATTTAGTCCATCTTCCTTTCAAAAACCTTGGCACAATAGTTGTACTTTAAAATTTTCATCCTTGCTTTGTTGTGTAGTGCCTGTATTTATTGATCACCTGTAGAGGACTAGTCTGCGTATTTGGAAACTCCCCTTAAAGCTAAGATAGGAAGCCCTTGAGTTGTCCTCACTTAATGATTTCAATGAACCTGTGTATATTGGCCTTCTGCTGCCAGGCCTATGATAGTCCCTCAGTAATTACTTAGTGATCAGTTGCTGTTGCTATCCAAGTTGCTGTGAAGCTTGCTCAGACTTTCTGTGCTTTGTGGCCCATGCTTACCTGTCTTGAGCATTCAGTTAATGAACCCATCCCCAGCCCAGTTGATTCCCAAGCATGTTCTGTACACAGAATTGGAACCTTTGACACCAGTGAATTATCTCAGCAATTCATAGACCCGTTGGCATGAGCAGCTCCTACTCCTCTGTGCACTTCTTACTGGGGTCATGGCAGTTTGCAGGTAGTGATAATGTTAGTAGATACTGATGGACAGACATTCTGATGTGGACTTTCTGTCAACCCTGCCTCCCACCCGTGAAGTTCAGCAGAACTCCTCTGAAGTTAAATTGGGCAGGAAGTAAAAGTCCCTCTGAAAACTCAACAGAAATCCCAAGTGCTTCTGGGGATGTTTTTTGTATATTCCCTATTCTCTTTATTTAGAGCAATGCTTTATTCTTTTCAAGAAAACCTTAATTCTGCTTAAAACAAAGAAGCTATGAGTGTAGGTCATTTCTCCTTGGGACTTTTCTGAACCTGTACTCATTTACTGCAGTCGTGTTCTTTGAAAGCAGTTAGTAGTCATTCATGCAAAAGACCCTCTGCTGATCCTGGACCACACCTCCCAGGAGTTTCCATATGGCAGAGGATCTTAGTGACTTTGCTCTGGAAAGGGCACTCCTTTTGGAAGTGTCCTACTTTGAAGAGTTTTGCAGGTTCATCAAACAGTGCTATTTTAGTTTACTATGAAGATACCTTTACCATCCAGTTTTTTCTTTGCATCTTAAATTATGTTCTACTTTTTCTTCCTTTTTCTGTCTTTCACAGTTGATTTTGGGGTGAGTGCTCAGCTGGACAGGACAGTTGGAAGGAGGAATACATTCATAGGCACCCCCTACTGGATGGCTCCTGAAGTTATCGCCTGTGATGAGAACCCAGACGCCACCTACGACTACAGAGTAAGAGGCACCTACCTGCTTGGCTGGCCTTTGCTCAGTTGTAGGGGTGAATGGAGGTTGCTTATGTATTTCATACATACCTCTTAATTTCTCGAGGAAGACATGAGCCCCTGTTTGGGCGCAAATTTTCCAGAATAGTGTTAAGCGACTTTTTGGTCCATTTGCTTCACTATGGATTGCACTTGTGTCAGACAGTACAGGCCACTGGGTATGTAGTACGTGGAACTTTTCTTCATGAGTACATTAAAAGTTTTCTCCCATTTGTTATCCTTTTTAATTTGAGGAATATCTTAAAATCAAATATATTTTTTAAATATTGTCAGAATGTGTAAGAGCTACATTTATAAAATTTTAGATTATTCTTGTTGAAAGAGTTTCATAGTTTTCATTTAGTATACAAATATATTGAGATTATTAGAGTGACCTTGAGGGACTTGAATCAATAATGCATTTGATCCAGGTATAAAATCCATATATGGTAATCAGACTTAGGTTGGCTATATTTACAAAAATTTATTTTAAAAAAATCACCTTAATTAAACAAACTGGAGTGGTTAATGTACCTGTTAGTGATATTCATCGTGAAGTTTGTCTTAACAGTCCCCAGTGTATTTCAGTATTTATTTTAAGTACCCAATTACTGAGGCTTAAATTAAATCAATGCAGCTGAGGAATTTTTATTGTATCTTTTATATGGAGTTTTAAAAAATAGGTTACAGATTTTGTGACATTTTATTTTTTAATGTTATTGCATATCTCTTAAAATTAGAAACCATTTTTCAGTGTACTCAAAATATTATCATACCTAAGTAAATTATTATACAGAGTTAATAATTGAAAATCTTAATTAAGATTATAGCTGATTTGTCCAAACCAGTATCCAGTGCAGGACAGGACGTATTTGGTTGTTTGGCCATTGAGTTGCTTTTAATTTAGAATACATCCCCATTTTTATTCATGAATCTGACTTGCTTAAGAAGTTGGGTCTATTGTAAAATGTTCTACTCTCTAGATTTGCCTGATGATTCCTATGTAATATGTATTTCTTGTTTCCTGTCAACTGCAAAGGCTCAGTTATTGTCAAGGAAAGCTAACTTACAAGATGACCTCATAGGAGCTGGGGTACTTTGTGTTGCCTTATGCCAGGAAACCTACAGCCCTGCTTATGCCACCATTGACACTGCCAAAATGTTCTCTGGGTTAAGGCAGTAAGCCCTTTGCACCCTTGTAGTACGGAAAATTCCATAAAAGTAAGGGAGAAATTTGTAGGTCTATTCTTACTCTTGTATTCAAACATAAGGGTCTATACTTTGTAAGATAATTATAGGTTAATCTTGGAAAACTTAAATTGAGCAACATTGAGTAATTATAAGATCATGATAGCATAAAAATGAAATGTATACTAATGACAATAACTGTCTATATTTTTCTTTTTTAAAATAAGATTTGTTCTTCAGCCAGTGCTTATCAGATATTACAATGAACAAAACAAAAACACTCGCCCTTGTGGAATTTTGAGCAGGGAACAAAAGTTTAATTCAAAATTTAAAGTTAACATTTCAGGGCAATCAGGAAGAATAGAGTCCTTGCATACAAAGACAGTTTACTTCCATCTCTCCCTTGTTTGGTTTGAAGATGGACTGCAGAGGCCCCATAGTATGATTTGAATTAGTGAATAAGTATTGATTTTATGAATAGTTTTAAGAATTTTGTAAAGAATGGCTTCTATCCTTTAAACTTAAAATCTTAATTACATTTGAGGTGCTAACATAAAATATAAAAACAAACATAAATCTGTTTCAGGAGTCTAGACATAATGCTTGTAAAGAAATGTGGGTGCACACTGAAGAGGAGAACACTCACTGAGCTGTTAGAGGGCTTTTACATCAACTGTGTCTGTCTCGTTTACAGCGATGAGTGGTTTTAATCAGCTAATCTTTATTATTTTAGGTATCATCTGTTCACTCACTTGTAAGATGTTCCTAAACTGTGTTTTCACTTTTAATATCCTGGCAAGTTTCTGTTTGTTTTGTACACTTGAAAGAAAGCCTTTATTTCAGTTGTGTGAATAGTCATAAGTGAGTTAATGGCTTTGCAGCTAATATGGCGTACTGTTTTATTTTTGCAGAGTGATCTTTGGTCTTGTGGCATTACAGCCATTGAGATGGCAGAAGGTGCTCCCCGTAAGTAATTTTTCTTTACTTTTTAGCCCAGTTGTAATATGTAACCTAAACTAGTTCCTAGGCTTCAAAGAGTAGTTTCATGTATAAAGTGATTCTTGGTGGAGGCATTTGTAAACATTATAAATGAAATTCTTAATAACCACTGTCCCTTATGGAGATCTCTTGGTATGTATAGGCTGTATTTTCTTTTATTTAAGTAGAATTCACATGTGTAAGCTGAGATCACATCAATAACTGGTAATTTGGGGTTTTGCATTTTAAAGTTAATATCCAGTTAAACTGGGTTCCTAACATGAAATTTTAGTATTACTTAAGTTTTGACTTAATAAATGGAGGCATTGTTTTTATTTACAGAATTTTTTTGGGGGGGGGTGGATTATTCATGAAAATTTGTAAGAGTGTTTGCTTTTCCTTGGATTAAATCAATGAAAACTTTATAAAATTGAGAGTTTTGATCAGGGTTGGGATAGAATAACAGAAAAAAAGGAAAAAGCCATATTTTCTGCTGGTTTCCCTAAAAGGGAAAGACAGTGTAACTGCCTGGTACATAGTTGCTGAATAAATATTTGTTGAATGAATGAAAAAATCATTGGCAACAAATTAGTTTGCAATACAGAAATGGATGTCTGCCTTGAATACCAGATGTTCCTCATGTTTCTTTCTAAGGAATTGGGACAGGGAAATATTGCTTGATCCTTTGTCTCAGTTTTCTTTCACAATGGGAATACTATTGTCTGCGTCTCTACCCCCACATTCCCAGCTGCCTTATAAGAATCTCTTGAAGGTAAATAAACACATGAAAATGCACATTACCTATGGTGACATTAATGCATACATGTGTGCCGACCATCTTTATTGGAATGAGTGATTGTAGAGGTAGTAATAGCACAGAATTAGACAACTCCATTTTACTTCCACATTTTCACTCTTTCATAATAATACTAGCTATAACAATAGTCAGCAACATCTCTGAAGGGCTTAACTATCCTTACTCTGTTCCAGGCATTGTATGAAGGCCTTCCCAAGGTGTGTTCACAAGCAGTGCCTTGTTTAATCCTTATTAGAACAACCCTGTGAAAATACAACCATTTTCATTATAATCTTATGGATGGCTTAAAAAACATAAGTGTTTTTATCTTCTTTTAAGACTTTGAATTAATTTTTATCTTTGGTTCATGAGAACTGTCTAATGTCTGTTTGAAAGTGTATATTCTTCTTGTTGCTCTTGTTCTTTGTATATTTTATATTTTTAAATGAGAAATTCAAGGTATTCCCAGAGTTCCAAGCTAGATGTCTAGACAGCTTGACATGAAGCCTATTAATTGGGCAATTGGAACAGAACATTTGGTGTTACTTATGAATGAGCCCTAGAAGTCAAGAATGAGTAAAATAAGTGCCATACTGATACGACCGTCTCCTCTCCCCAGCTCTCTGTGACATGCATCCAATGAGAGCACTGTTTCTCATTCCCAGAAACCCTCCTCCCCGGCTGAAGTCAAAAAAATGGTAAGCTATGTATGGATTTTTTGTTGTTGTTCTTTTCTTTCTTTTTAAAAATCGTATTGTTTCTTTTCAGTTTTACTTTCTTTTGAAGTAAAATTCTGGCCATTGTAATTTCAACCATTATAAAAGCCAAACACCAATTTAAAAAAAACCAAATTAATATTTTTAGTCCTTTTTTTTCTTGATAAATCCTCTTTTCAAAATAGTGTCAGGTTATCATGTGAAACACCATAACGTGATTTCTTTTTAATATTTAAAAAAATAAAATTAAATATATATTTAATATTTGCTTTTAAGTACAGTATACTTTTAAACATCTTTCCATTAAAACAGCAAAGCTATGTTGACTTGAAATCTCTCAGATGAAATAGGACTTTAAAATTAATGGACGAGTTTACTATAATGATTGTTATTAAGTGTTTTTTTGGCATGCTTGTTTTCATTCCAGAAGAACATAGTAACAGACMGGACCCCTCTCCTTGGCAGCCACCTTCCTTCCCTCCTTGCTGCTCTCCTGCATGTGTCCTATGAGACACTGACATCCCTGGGAGGGCTGTGATGACAGCCTTCCCCGAGGAAAGCCTCTAGAGTTTCCATATTAAGGGAGTGTGTGTTTGGGTGAATTTTAAAATCTTTAAGGGAGGGGGCCAGGCCCCGGATATTGCCGACCCCAACCCCAAGAGTTTTTTTTCACTTGTTCCTTCCTGAACTTTTTTTCTTGAATCTTTTTTTTATCAGGTCTTGTCTACACTCAGGCTCCTCAGACATATATGTAGGCCTTTCTTCCTTTCTCTGTTTTCCTTCCTGTTTCTTGTGCTTATCTATCTTTATTGATGCTTACCTTCTGTACTCTGCTGGTTCTCTCTTACCCCCAACCTTTCGTCTTTTTAAAACTATTCTTATTAGTTTTCCAATTAATGTTTTTCCCTTAGGATTTTGTCTCTTCTGAAATATGCACAAAGTCTCCGAGTCTTCCATTCAGGATTTGTTCTTTTGGTTATTCCTGTCTACTCTGCTCTTGATTGCTCGTTTTCTGATCTTTTGCAGTTTTCTTTTCCCCTCTGGGGTATAGACATGTACATACATTTTCACCCCAGCTTCCTTTGTGCTTCTCCTTTTCCTCACTTTTTGGGTCCTCACACAGTTTACTCTTACTTCCCCATCTTTATTCTAGCTGGATTTTCTCATTCTTTATGCAGTATCTTTAACTGCATTGGATTCCAGATAACTGAGGCCATCTAATTCCATTTACCAGTTTTAGAGAGGTTGTCAAAGGCCACACAATTGCAAAGATCTTAGTTTGATTGGTCCACTGTGTTAAGATATGATAACTTTTGGCATCATGGATAGGCAGCTCCAGGGACACCAAGTGTGTACAGTGGATATCACTTAGGAGTAAGGTAGGGGGTGGAGTAATAATTTTTTATCTAGCTCATCCTAAACCAAGTGATTCTTGTTTTTCTTTTTTCTTTCCCCTGTCATATTTTATTGAAGGGAGTTTTTACTGGGAGGATTACTAAATTAATGCTCTGTCTTCAGGGTACCTCACACTCTGATTATTCTGTCCATTACTTGCAGTTTTGTGTACAATGTGTACAATATACAATGATGTAAAAATATTGTGGTGTAGGTTGTGATCGGTAGAGAGAAATGCTTCCTGGATTCTTTTCTTAACACCAGACTTCCATGATCATCCATTCACACCACTGTTCTCATTTTACCCAGGTATTCTAAAGGGGTTAGAGGATTACAGACATAAAACCTTTCTTTGAGACTGCTATTTTGCTGTCTACCAGATGTATATTTCTATTACTGTTTCCTGGAGAAATGGTGATTAAAAAGATGATTAATAACGTCTCTTCCAGCAGAATTGATTGTTGATTTTTAAAGAAAATATTATAGATGGTTGATTCCTGAAGGTTGGTTGTTGTACACAAAAATTCCTTTGGAATCTTTTCACTCAGGACTCCAGTGTTTGGTGTGGGGAATGATTCATGTATTTGTATCTTTAATAAATTCCTTGAAATGATCCCCAAGGGCAGCAGGATTTAGGGATCTCTGAGTTAGAGCATTCCATTTTATAGTATTCTCTAAATTTCCCATGTTTCTCATTAAACACCTTCTTTGATGTTGAAGCCTTTCTCTGAGCCAATTCTAACATATTTCCACATTCTTCTCCACTTTCATAGTAATCTCAGAAAATGACTTCTTATTCTCTGATATTTTTGCCCCTTTGTTTGTATTGTTCCTTCATGTTGTCTTTTCTCTCTCATCTTTGGCATATCAAACATCTGCTTTTTCTTGATGTCTAACCCACTGTAGTAGTTTTTGCTTTTTCTCTTCCGTAAGTTTGATTATATATCTGCTATTGGGTATACCTAAATTTTCTCTGTTTCTATGTACATTTCTTATAGAGCCTACCATAAACAAATACATATATAAATATTTGTTGAATTGAAAAAATAGTAAGTTTGAATAGAAATAAAAAATAATTAAAGTGATTCTTTAAAACAATGAAAGAACCAAATTAATTTTTTAAATCATATTTCTAAAGACTGAATATTTCATTCATTCAACAAAAATTTATTACATACCTTTTGTGGTATGCCATGCTTAGAGTTTAGCATTGCTAATAAGTTTAAAAAAAAATGAGAACTGTTCCTGCCTGAACTATTTCAAACCAGTAAAGGAGACAGAAGCTTAAAAGTGTTCAGTATGTTAAGTGCAGATAACCCCAGAAAAGTCTCCTGTCTTGGGGTATGTAGGATAAAATGTTGCCAGGAAAGACTTAGCAAAAGACCTGATAGGTGTGTCTCAAAACAGAGTGGGTGAGAGTATCTTAGCTAAGGGCAGGGCTGGAGAGTCCTTGTGAATAAGAGAAGACCAAGGTCAAGCTAAAAGTGGCTGATAGTAAGGGTGGCAAAGTCGTTGCCCTCTCAAAACTGTCATTCCTACCTTTGTATATTAAGCCAAATGAAATCTGGTTGAAGTGTCAAATGAACAGGTGTAAGAGTCCCAGCATTTTGTCAATGCAAGGCTTCTTTGCCCCTGTGTCTGTCCTCATCTTTTAGGTGTCAAGGTATATCTGTCCTGTGTTTGACTTCATATTAACAAAGACCTCCCCCTATTCCTGCTTCTCCTACCCATGGCTTAGTGCTTAGTGAGCAACATTAGATTTAAATCCAGTACATTTAAACCTGATTTCCTTCACAACGCTCTTTGTAGTGTGTTGTCAGTAATATGGTATAATTCTTTAAACTGTTAAAATCATGCTCCTGATCACCAAGGACCTGAGTTCCTATTTGCATTCTTGTATTGTTCCTGTGCATTTGCAGAGTATTCATAGTGGATCCTGAAAATCTTTGTTTTCAAGTTTACAAGTTACTGATATTTTGGAACTTTGCTCTTTGTGACAGAAATTTGATGATATTTTTCACTTCCTCTTACAGGTCAAAGAAATTTTTTAGTTTTATAGAAGGATGTCTAGTGAAGAATTACATGCAGCGGCCCTCCACAGAGCAGCTTTTGAAACATCCTTTTATAAGGGATCAACCAAATGAAAGGCAAGTTAGAATCCAACTTAAGGATCATATAGACAGAACCAGAAAGAAGAGAGGAGAAAAAGGTATTAAATCTGTTTTTATTTTCATCATTTAAAATTTTTCTTTTTAGGTTCTTGCCACTCCTTCCCTAGCTGTGAGGTGGTTCTCACTTGGCCAGTTCTCAGATAGTTTGTCTCTGCTGTGCAGTACAGTGATCTGGCCTAGGATCTGAGCAGCCAGAGCTGTATGGTGTGTCCCAAGTTAACACCAGTTTTATCGGATGTTTGATGGGATGTTTTTCCTGTCTCTCCTTGGCAGCACATCAGTGGCGCTATTCATTTTACTTCATATTGAATGTTCTTACAGTTTCCTTCACTTGGGGTTTTGGACCATCATCATAACAGTGTTCCCATATTATTCTCCTGCTCAGGAACCAGGGTTTCCTGCTGCTTTACTTTGCTACAGGTGGTATGCTTAGGCATGGTTCACTTTTCTCTTACTTCTGCACAACACAAACATTCTGTTATATGAGTTACTGAGGGTTCCCTTCTGTCCCAGCATCTTTACTTTCTTTCTGTAAACCTGCCTGGCGTGCCCCATTTTCCTTCTGTCTAGCAAGGTACAGAACTTGCCTTATCTTTGGGCTCCTAGTGACTTTACACTAACCTCACAGAACAGCATTTGCATAACTGCATTCCATTCATGAAATTTAAAAAAAAAATTTAAAATACATTTCAAGGTCAAACAAGAAACTAAAGAGAGCAAGTCCAAGGCAAAAGAGAATTAGTCAGGGGCTGGGCTCATAGTTAAGTGCTTGCCTAGCATTCATGAGGTATCCTGGGCTTCAATTCTTAGCACTGCCAAAGAAAGAGAGTTGGTCAGAGTCATCCTGGAGCCTCTATGGAGCTTTTTGCATGTTCATTTGCATCTTGGACAACTTAGATATTCTTAGTGAAGCCTTGATTGGTGTTCTTTTTCCCACTGATGTATTCAGTCATAAAAGTAATTAAGCTTTGTGTATAGAATTATGTGATTGTAACAAAGTGAACTAAAAGTTGAAAACAAGTCTTTTTTTTTTTTTTAACAGTTGACAGGGTAGCCCTATTTGTGGCAAATATTATTTTTATATTGGATGATTTTCCTGTTACTTAATCATAACAGCTAATAGTCTTGCTGTGTACCAGGTGTTAATTAAGTACTTACCCTGGATCACCTCAAGTATCCCTCATCTTTTACATTTTGCCAATGTAAACAGTAGTGTGCCTAACCTTTTTTTCTTAACTTTAAGTCACAACAGCTTATTTTCTTTTCACATTCACCTTCTACAAACCCTCAGCTTCTTGTTAGTAATTACTGGTTTATAGTACAAAATTTTAAAAATAATGAAGTACTCATTTAAAAGATTCCAGTGATAATTTAGGTTGGAATTTCCCTTAGAGGGTGGCATGTATCTATCAGTCTATTAAAATTATGTAACTTGGGCTGGGGTTGTGGCTCAGCAGTAGAGTGCTTGCCTAGTGTGCGTGAGGCCCTGGGTTCGATCCTCAACACCATATAAAAATAAATAAATAAACAAAATAAAGATATTGTGTCTAACCAAAAAATAAATTAAAAAATAGGGAAGAACCAACGTCATATGTACAGATTGACAAATTGGTCTTAAATCATATTTTAAGTCCTTAGGCCTGTTTTTCTCACCAGGAAACTGATTTTCATCTTGTATACCTGACAGAAAGCACAGGTGTATTTTTTTTGTGTTGTTTGTGTGTAGACTTTTAAGTCTCTTCAGCTTSTGTGGTTTTGATTGCTCTTTGGAGTAAAATGGCTCACTGAAAGTTGAATACTGACATTTGTAATGGGACCTGTAAAATGGCCTACTACTTTTAGGAAAATGAAATAAAACTTGTGGAAGTGAAAATGAATTATTCATGTTGAAACTTTTGATTACAGTCTAGTCTTAAGTTGAGCAGCTTTTTTCCCCATCCACTTGCTATATTGTTTGGTTCGTTTTTCCCTGGTTTAATTCTTATAAATTGTGGGAATATTTGATTTTGTTTTCTTACTACATAATGCTTCACTTTTTGTCCACCTAGCAAACCTTTCTCTCTGCTGTACTCCCAATGGATCTCCAGTATTTAAAAATAACCAAACAAATTTTCTTGGTTGTTTTGGTTAGTTTCTGTAGCTCAATCTGTTTCTTTTCAATTTTGGCATCAGAATAAACTTCTGTGAATTTGCTGGTGCTCTAGTCACTTTGATTTCATTCATCTGGAGCTCTTCTCAGCAAAACCTTCAAGGATTTTTAATATTTTGTCATAATGCTCTTGGAGATACTTGCGTGTGTAGGCACGAGTCAGGATATGAGCTGTCCCAATTGTCTTGTCCTTGTCTTCATAGATGAAACTGAATACGAGTACAGCGGGAGTGAGGAAGAAGAGGAGGAAGTGCCTGAACAGGAAGGAGAGCCAAGGTAAAGGCACAGCCTCTGTTCATAGACTGCACTTGGTGCTGATGCCAGGATTTTAGAAGGCTCATGGGTAATAGGAAGGAGTCTTAAATTACCTTGAAAAGTGCCTTGCTATCTCCCATTTCTCTCTCTCTCTCTCTCTCTCTTTTTTTTTTTTTTTTTTTTTTTGACAAATTCCTATAAACATCTCATTACCCACGGTTGGTTTTTTTTTTTCTTTTTTAAACCAAGGATTACATATTAATCCCTACCTAGTAACTTGGAATTGTGCATGGCTGTGTTGAACTTGGACAGGAGACTTTGTCCCTGCTATTTATTGGTCCAGAAGGCACAGATAATGCAGGCCTTACACTGGGAAGATCAGTCCCACACTCAGTGAATTGTCCTGCTCATAAGGCCAATTTTGTGTCATCTGGAGCTCTTCTCAGCAAAATCTTCAAGGATATTTATTTTGAATGAGGCAGAATCATGGCCTGCATTGAAAAACTATGCAGTCTTTCCCCAAACCCCCCATCCCCCATTTTTTGCTCCTCTCACAAATGGGGTCACCAGCATTTGATTTCCTGTGTTAAGGTGTGTTCTGCACTGATCCATTTTATGTTTTGATTTATTTTTGGCTTCCTACGGTGCAGTATACAAAGATTGAGGAGTTAAAACTGGTAAGGTGAACTTCGTAAGAACATCAATCAAAGAGTAAAGGATTTTTGGATTTTAGTGATGTTTTTCCTGACACCCATTCATGACATCACTGCAGGAGCCATGTGTTTGAAAATGAGGGTTTGTTCAGAGAAGAGACTTTATTAAAGAAACAACATTTTGCTTTTTACTGTAGGAAAAGATTTGAATCTATTCTAAACTGAAAAGTTTAGAGGAGTTCGAACTGATTTCACAGGATATATAAAATTGTTTTGGGGTTGGAGAATGATTGAATAAGAGGCAATTGTAGGAGATTTGTTAGCTATGATATTTTGGGTAGCGTGGAAGGTGAGAAATAGAGAGGCTAGGATGGGCGCTGGTTAATTTATCTGCAATGGCTAATTCATGAGACCCATGGAGTGCAGCTGATGACTTGAACACAAAAACTGGGGGAGGACATACATGACAGGACGTGGTAGTTGACAAGGTGAAGATGAAGGAACAGTTAGTACTGAAGACTGCCCTGATATTTTTGTTTACTGATGGAAAACAAGGGGCAAGACAGTGAAGTGAAGTTGCGTGTAACCTTTCATTTTACAGAGTTTGGATTAATAAGAGAAATATTTTGTTAAGCAAACATGTAGGATAGAATTTTTAAGATGCTCCTAAATGGTAAAAGAAGATGTGGGACTATTGAGCTGTAAGTAACAGTCATTCCTATGGATGTTTTAGTTTAACTTCTAGGGTCAGTTGGGGACTCCCATTAGGAATGAATTTAGAAAGGGATTAGGATACCAGAATTGCTACCTTTCCTAGAGGTCAGGGTAATGTGCACATAACCATGAAAGCCCTGCTTCCTCTTACAGTTCCATTGTCAACGTGCCTGGTGAGTCTACTCTCCGTCGGGATTTCCTGAGACTGCAACAGGAGAACAAGGAACGCTCTGAGGCTCTCCGGAGACAGCAACTATTGCAGGAGCAACAGCTCCGGGAGCAGGAAGAGTATAAAAGGCAGCTGCTGGCAGAGAGACAGAAACGAATCGAGCAGCAGAAAGAACAGAGGCGGAGGCTAGAAGAGGTAGAAAATAAAAATGTCCACACTGTTCTTTTCTCTTTCATATTCACTTGGTAGCCAGGTACTCCAAGGCGTGTTGTCTGTAGCCCACTGAGATAATACCCATCCTCTGTGTAGCTATTCAAAGAACTTCTAAAGGAAAGCTTGTGCTTTGGACTGGCAGGCCTTCACATTCTTGAGGTCTTAGAAATGTTTTCCTTCCTTGTAAAAACTTTGAGGATCTGCCCTACAGTTACTCATGGACATACTGTGAGATGCAGAGCATTGGTGTCCCAGAGATGGCGTCAGATGAGCTTTGTGCAGTGTTTCCATTGAGGTTAAGTTGGCTTGCTCAGGCTTGACCTCATTTCTTTTCCATTCTTGGCCTCTAGGTTCCAGTTTGTATGGTTATGTTTTTTGGAAACTTCAGACATTTTCACATGAAAACATTTTTCTCCAAAAGCCTTAACTTACTTCAAAGGAGTATTTAAGTTACTCTTAGGTTGAGGATGTAGCTCAGTGTTGGTTTGCTTGTCTCACATGCATGAGGTCCTGGGTTCCATCCCCAGTACCATAAAAATAAACAAACAAAAAGTGACTTTTATATTTTATATATATGTTTAAGTTAAGGGATGCAGAATATTTAAGAATAAAGAACACAGAATTTTAACATGAGATTAGTGTGTGCTGGTCGGGGGATGTGGCTCAAGCAGTAGCGCGCTCGCCTGGCATGCGTGCGGCCCAGGTTCGATCCTCATTGTTTATCTTAAGTTTAATAAAAAATATTAAAATGGTGTCCCAGAGAAAGCCTGATCCTCAAGCTAAGATAAGCTTATATTAGTTTTACTTGGGGTATGATTTTGAACCTGTTATGTATATAACTAAAAATCATGTCTGCTGGTTTGTATGTCTTTATTTTGATCTTATGGAGACAGATTATTAAAAGAAAAAGAAAAGTTTCTAGAGATGATTTGTTTTTAGTAAGCCTTGTGCCCTCATAATAGTACATTCTTAAAAAAATTTTAATCAAATTGTACAAAAATCATGTTAATCTAAATTTGTATTTGATGTTTCTAGATCTTATCCTTTAGAAAAAATTCCAGCTGGGGATATAGCAAAGTTGGTAGAGTAGTTGCCCCACATGCACAAGGCCCTGGGTTCAATCCCCAGCACCTCAGAAATAAATAAATAAATAAATCCCAAAATTTTCAATCCCATTTCAGTCACATTCTCGTGAAGACCATATATACTCTGAAGACTTAAAATATTTGCCATTGAGGCCAAGCGAGGAACTTCACTTATTGATCTGTGGATCACTTTTTCTACTATTTGTGTGTCTTTTCTATTTTAGAAGACTGCTGATGTGATTCTTAAATCCTCCTGCCTCACATCCTTTCTGTGGGTACTATAAGATAATCTCCTGCCTTTATGATCTTTCCTTGCAAAGTGTATAACACTGGAATCTCAGGTGACACTGTGATTTTAGAGAATCTGCTTCCCTCAAGTGAAGGGTACAGGAAGTATGTGCACTTCTAAGGTTATAGTTTGGTGAAAGTGAGAGAAATTAAAAACAAAGGCAAGAAGGAGAAAAAATATTTTCTTTTAAGTTTTAGCACTAGCAAAACCACATTTTTCCGTAAAAATTAAGAAACTGTACTGTGTATTTGTTTTATGTTTCTTGACTCTGAAACCTTAGAAGGAATGCTTTGAACTTCTTTACCTCAAGGACTTTCCAGAAGTGATTCATGGATTTTAAAGAAAGAAAAAACATTTCTTCATTTTACATTGCCTACAGAAAAGGCCTTTGTTTTTACAAATCACTAGAATCTAACATCAGGAGTACTGTGTTGGCACAGTGCTACTTTTTCACAGTTCCAACTGTAATATATGTAGTAATTCTAGTGACCAAGCAGCCAGTGACCCTATGGCTAATGCCTTGATTTATGTCCAGTCAGTGACTCAGTAGTTGTTTTTGCAAATTCTTGTTTTTAAGAACATCTTTAAAAGTTCTTAAAAGTTCTCTTGGCACCTAGCCTAGTGATTGGTTAAATTTTTCAGAGTTAGTTTAATTCAGCAAATATTATTTGTTGTCTCAAGATGGAGAAGAGTTGTCTTTGGGGAGAAGAGAAGCAAGTAGTTTCTCCACCATGGCTTCATCAGAACTTGTATATTAAAAAAAAAAAAATCAAGCATTTTTAGTATATGTGCGCAGTGATGTGACCTCAAACCTTTAGAAATAGCTGAATCTGAAGAATGACTTGGTCTATTGAAGTTTGCTAGTTTCCATTAAAGCAAGTAAATCCAGGGGAGTATATTTAAATGGGCCTTATTTTCAGTGTGACTTAGAAAAGTTTTCAGAATTATGAGATGAAAGCATTGCTTTAAATACCAAACTAGAAAGGGAACTTGAATAATTAAAGCATTGCAGGAAAAGTACATATTTACTTAGGCATGCTTGGGAAAATTTAAGTAATAAGGAAATCTTTTTATAATTTAAGAGACTTGGAAATCACTTTATAGCACATTCAGTTTTTCAATTTGTTTGATTTTTGTTTAAAAGAAAAAAATGATTTAAGAAAATAATGACATCAGTTTGTAAAATCTTCAAAGGATTATAACATGTTTGTTATTTTTAGTAGGATAACCTGAAAAGATGTATTCATTAGATTCCCCAGGGTTTTGTTATTTGAAATGACAGGCATTTGGTTAATTCACTAAGGATTGATGTTGATGGTGTATGTTTCATTTTTGGCTGTTTTGAGATTGTGATGCAAGAAGCCAGGTTTTCGTGATAATTATTCAGATAAATTTAATGTAGGTTTTCTTACTTTAATGGTTCCTGACTGTGCCTATATCCTGATGTGCCCCTCTCCCCCTGCAATGGAGAGTTTGTTCTCATTAGAGTGGCTTTGTGATTGATAGTTTGAATTTTTGCTCCTGTTCCAATCTACACTTTGAAAATCAGAGCATAATGTGGGAAGAGGAGTAAGTAACCATCATCTGCTTTGCCCATTGGCCTTGTCAGCAGGTTGATCTCCTAGCCAGGATGTGCTGAATAGGCTAATCTTGGGAAGTAGGGCACTTTCCATGTTGCCTTATGAAGTTTTCTAATGTATRTAACTTACCTACCATAAGACTTAGAGGAGAGGGCTTGCTTCTAATTCATCTTCGTGTACCCTGGGACTTAATCAGTAAATATTTTTTCAAATAGGTACGCCAATCATTCATAGTCCTGTGTGTACCTCTAGAAAGGGTCCATTCAAATTTATTCCTGYTTGAAAGTGGCCCTTGGACTTCAAAGCTTGAATTTGAGTCCCCAAGCCACTCAGAATACTTCAAAGGACTTTGTATGATACCCTGAGACRTAGAGTGTGTTGCTGAAGCATGAGGCATTATGCAAAGCGACAGTGAATGTTCAGGCCTTTGTGCACTTACTTGGTGATCTTGAAATGATTGCTTTAGTATTTGATTAGATTTCATCTTTGGATGAATTCTTGAATCTTTTATTACTCTAACTACCAAGCATGGGGTAAAATCACAGCAGTCTTTATTTTGGATGTCATATGCTTGGTGTGAGGGTGAGATTTGATTAGGAAAAAAAAAGGAATGCACAGGCTGAGGGAGTGGCTCCTTGTTAGAGTACAGGCTAGCATGTGTGAGGCCCTATAACTGATCTCCCCACAAAATAATGCATTCTTCTTGTGAAGATGATTTACAACGGGGGAAAAATGAAAAAAAAAAAGATTCCTGCTTTCAAGCAATTTACTAAGGCCTTAAGATTTCACATGAAATTAAGAAGGAAAGGCCTTTTGGAAGCTTTTGGTTGCTAATTGAGATTTTTTTAGATAGATTTGTCCTTYTTTTTGAGATGTTGTTTATTTCCTTTTTTTAATGTCTTTTGAGTAAATAATAAATTTTATTTATTTTAGTTAACTGAATAAATATTTAGTTATATTGACTTTGAAAAACAATGGAACAGAAACTTTCATAGAGAAGTCCCTCTGAAATGACTGAAAAAGTAAAAAACAACATAAACAACAGGGATTTTTTTAAAAAGCAGAAAAGAGACCTAATTGTGGAAATTAATGCATGGAAGAAGGCTGATTCTTAGTACAAATCTTGGAAGAGTCAGAAGTGGGAAGCAGTAGGTGGGCTGAAAGCAGGATTTTTTTTTGAAGGTGGGGGAAATAGAGGACAGCTAAGACTTCACAGACTGTGCAGCCAGGCCACTGTGCTCGCACCTCAGCAGGGCCACGTGTATTCTCCCTGGGAAAGGGAGCAAAAGGAACTCAGAACATGGAGAAATCGGGCACAGCTGAGAATGCCAAGGGATGTACAGCAAAAAAGGCATTTAGTGAAAATCTCCTGATCAATGTGATTGCAGATGTGCTCACCTCACTCAGTCCCCAGGGTGCTGACAGTCACACTTACTACAAATGCCACCTATTTCAACCATATCCTTTCTTCAACTCCAGAAGGATATTGGGATGATTCCCAGAAYATTGTGAAGATTCTTCTCTGGACCTTACTGGCCATTTGCAAGGAAATGAGGCTTCCATGAAATGATCATAGTTGCCAGATGTGGTCCATCTATTAACCCTTATGGTTTGCATTTTAGTGTCTTTTAGTATCTTTGGCATACTCACATTTTAGTAAGTATATAGCCAAGATTACAAACATTAAGAAAAGTCTTTAACATGAAAAATTTCAAAACAAATACAAAAAGGAACTTAAAATAGGATGCACCTAATGCATATACACATGCATTTATACAAAATCTTATCCTTAGAGAAAAGATTATTCATGAAACAAGATTATTTATGAAAAGAATTCTTCATTTAAATCTTAGAAAGGAGGGAGATACATTTGATTAGTAAAATCAGTAATACAGGAGGTCCAACTTCTGTTTAATAGACACCCTAGAATTGAATATGATGGGACAATGTACAGAAAGTATTTAAAACAAAGTTTCTAGAACTCAGTTTCTGGATTAAAAGATTCATCAGTTACATAGCACATGAATGAAGAAAAGGACCATGTAAAGGAACATAGTCACTTGAAATTCTAGAAAAGAGGGTTCTAAAAGCTGCATTTGGGAAGCAGTCAGTATAGTAGGAAAGGGAAACTAGAATGGTCTTAGATTATTCAGGACGAGAAACTAAAAGATAACATTCTACCTCTGAGATTCTGAGGAGAAATTATTTCCTTAGCCAAAATTGTCAGTATATCATGAGAGGAAAGAAAGATTTTGAGACAGTTTTCACAGCCTTTACCTCTTCTGCACTCTTTCCCACAAGGCTGTTGGAGGATGTGTTCCAGCAAAATAAGAAAATCATAAGGGATCTAGGTAACAGAGGATCCTATCCAGGAGAGTGTAAAATGATTCCCAGGAAGTTGATGGTCAGAAATATAGAGTTACTGAAGAACAGTGAGTGGTTTAGGGTATAGAGTCTTAATCTCTAAGATAAAAAATGACTAATTCTTCAACAATATTGAAAGGAGTTTTTTTTAAAAAAAAATACAAGGCACTCAGTAATTTTATTATAGATCCAATGAAAATCAAATAAAAAACAACATAAAAAAGAGGCAGTAGTAACTTCTGGAAAAAAATAAAAGGAAAGTTAGTCATACATGTCTTAGTCATGCATGTAGTTTTTACTTATCCAGAAATTGTCATACTGCATTGGAAATATGGACTGGATGGGGTAGTACAATAGATGGTGTCTAAGGTAGAAAGTTATTTAAAAATAGCTCCATATGTGAGTTATTTAAAAAGAAGGATGTGCTGGCAAGTGATAATTGTCAAGTTATATTGTTATATTGTGTATATGTACAAATGTGTAACAAATCCCATCATTATGCACAACTATCATGCACCAATAAAAAATGTGGAAAGAGGAAAAACAAAGGAAGATAGAAATAATAGGGGCAAATTTGAAAGCTTTAAAAATACTTATCCTTTTAGAGTAAGGATTGGGAGTTAGGGAAATAGGACAGCTTTTTTTTTTTCTTATGTTTTTTGTTTTTGTTTTTGTTTTGTTTTGGTGCTGGGGATTGAACCAGGGCCTTGTGCATGCAAGGCAAACACTCTACCAACTGAGCTGTGTCCCCACCCTGGACAGCTTGTTTTTGACATAAGCTATATAGTCTGTCTCCTTTTGACATTTTAAAGTTTCTACTTAATATTTTTATTAAAAAATTTAGATGACAAATATGTTGGAAAAAATCCTGTGTGTTACTTGTTAAGAGCATTCTAAAAAACATTTTTTAAAAATTCTTTTTAGTTACATATGACAGTGTCTTTTGGCAGATTATACATACAAAAAATGAACTTATTATATTTAGGATCCCACTCTTGTGGTTTTACATGATGTAGAGTTACCCTGTTCTTATATTCAAATACAAGGGTAGGAAAGTTATGACCATTTAATTCTACTATCTTTCCTATTCCCCGAAAACTCCCTTTCCTATGTTTTTCTTCATCTAATCCAGTGGATTTCTATTATTCCCCTCCCCAACTTCCTTTGTTTTGAGTTAGAATTCATAGTCAGAGAGAACATTTGGCTTTTGGTTTTTTAGCATTGGCTTATTTACACTTAGCAAGCAGGATATTCTCCAGTTCCATCCATTTACCAGCAAATATCATAGTTCATTCTTCTTTATGGCTGAGTAGTATTCCATTATCTATATATATCACATTTTCTTTATCCATTCATCTGTTCAAGGACTTCTAGGTTGTTTCCATAGCTTGGCTATTGTGAATTGAGCTGCTGAAAACATTGATGTGATTGTGTCACAGTACTATGCCGTTTTTAAGTCTTTTGTTTATAGACCAGTAAGTGGGATAACTGGTCAAATGGTGGTTCCAAACAGCATTTAGTTAGAGGAAATAATCAAGATTTCCTCTCATGCTGGTTGCCCTTCCCTTGGTGCACTTGGGAATAATCAAGAAAGTGGATTCTATACATTTTTTTTTTTTTAATAGTGGGGGAACTTAGTGTCCAGTGAAAGAATGAATGCTTTTACTTAAAGAGTCAAAGCACATTTGACCAGAGGGCATGTGTGAAGGACAGTAGGTGTCAGTAATTCCGACAGGGGTAGAAGGGGGAGACGTAAGCATAGATGAAGAACTGAGTTTTTCATCTTATTTCACTCAAAATTGAGTTTCACTTTAAAATGTCCCAATGTAGCTGATGGCTATAACATTGAACAGCACAGCTCTAGAGGCCACACAGCCAGCACATTTCTGAGACACACCAAACTGACACTGTCGCCACAAACTTGATTTGGGAGACCGAGAGTAACTATAAACGTTTGAGGTAAAGTTGGGGGGATATTAGACGAAAAGGTGAAAAAAATCAGTTCTTCCTCTGTGCTGCTTATATTTCAGGGGCTCAGTGGCACTCAGTATTGATGACTAGGGCCATTAGTGACTATAGTATTGATCATTTCAGAAACAGAACATTCTCATTGTCTCCAGAGAGTTCTGTTGGACAGTGCTGGCCAAGGGCCTGTCATTTTTCATATTCATGGGACGATTTGGTCCGTGTTAGACTCCATATTGAGCACCACACTCTCACTTCCCTATGTGAGAGAAACTGTTAGTTTAGAGGCTGGTGGCTGGCTCTCGTGTTCTGTACTATAGGATTATATGGAGCAGGGATAAAGTGAGTTTGGTGACTTGGTGCACCCTGTGCACCTGCTGACAGATGCAGGGTGGTATGTGGTCAAGGGCATCAGCTTTAGAGGCAAAATAGCTTTTACACCTGGTGTCTTGCTGCTGGTGACATTGGGCAAGTTATTTAACTTTCTAAACTGTTTTCTCATCTGTAGAGATGCAATGAGATACTTATAGTTGTTTTGAGAAGGATATTAGGTGAAGTAAATGAAATTTAAAAAGTCAAATACTGAGCACAGTGCCAGGCACTTAGTAGTAAGAAGGAGCTAAGTGGTTGCATTTTAAAATTCATAGTAATGATGATGGTGCCTGTTACTCTTGCTAATGTCATTTCTTCCTTTTCTGATACATGCTTCTTTTCTTCTTTTTTATTCCTTGGCTCCCTTCAGTTGTCCTGTATCCTCCTTTATTCCTTTCCCTTATGTATTTTTCTTCTGACTTAATGGCCTCAAAGAACTGTTAATGACAGAGTAACCCCAAAATAAAGAATTTGTAGTTTTGTAATTGCTGTGGTACAGTGAGCAGTGGGGATAATTGTTATTAAAACAAAATCAAAACCCTAAAAGTATTCACAGAGACATAGAATCTTTGATGAGTATTTATGCAAAGGCTGTTAGATACAGGGCTAAGGGGTTAAGTGTGGAAATAATTGCCCAGTAGAAYTGGGATCTTTGAACTTCACTACATTATCAGTAACTGACAGGTTAGCAAACTATTCTGGAAGACACAGCTGAAAGATCCCTGGTAATTACACATTTTTACTTATGCAGCAACAAAGGAGAGAGCGAGAAGCTAGAAGGCAGCAAGAACGTGAGCAGCGAAGGAGAGAACAAGAAGAAAAGAGGCGTCTAGAGGAACTGGAGAGAAGGCGTAAAGAGGAGGAGGAGAGGAGACGTGCGGAAGAAGAGAAGAGGAGAGCGGAAAGAGAACAGGTGAGTCCAATAGTGCTGTAGCCGTTAATYTGTGAAGATTGTTACTTAGTAAAGCTGGGGGTTTTGAGGTAAAATGTACACACATGTGTATGCGTATGCACATATACTATACTACACACACTCAGAACGTTGGACATCTGAAAATGCTGAAGCACATGGAAGCATGCTAATAAGTTGAGTCTCTTGTCGTCTTAGAAGGTTTTTCTTTTTTTTTTTTAAGACAAGGATATTACATCTTAGAGAATCCTTGAATCAGCTCAGTGGTCTCCAAAAAAATTTAGACTAAGTGAATATTTGATGTATTTGCTTATAAGTTGATATATACATATATAGCATTAAAAAAGTAACAACTTTGCATGGTTCAATTATAGGATTTTATTAATAGCATGGATAGCTGTATTTAGAAATTTGGTTTTGTGAACCAGTTTTGTAAACAAAAATTGACTATGCCCAGCTTCCCTGCTTTTCTAGTGTTTAAATTAATTGTTCTTTGTTTTGAACTTTGAATAAAGAAAATTATATGAATGGGGACCGATTTAAATAATATTTGAAATTCACATTTAAAATACTTATAAACCATAGTGATAACTTCCAACTATGTCTAATCTACTGTCCTTGGTACTAATAATGTGCCTCTGGTTTTTTGGAGACTTGATCACTAATGTTTTCATAGGAATTTCAGTGCTACTCTTTTATCTATTACCGTATTGGCATTATTGATCATTTAACTATAATGTTATATATGTGTCTGTGTGTGTTTTATTAACATTCTGGCCATGTATTTACCTGTGGACTGCAAAGAGGAAGAAATACCAGCTTTTAAGAAATTACCTAGGAGCCCGGCACGGTGGCCCATGCCTATAATCCCAGCAACTCAGGAGGCTGAGGCAGTAGGGTCATGAGTTTGAAGCCCGCCTCAGCAAAAGCAAGGCTCTAAGCAACTCAGTGAGACCCCGTCTCTAAATAAAGTACAAAATAGGTCTGTGGATGTGGCTCAGTGGTTGAGTGCTCCTGAGTTCAATTCCCAGTAACCGCCCCCACCCCCCCAAAAAAAAGTAGCCTTCTTAGAGGGGGAAAAAAAAAGAGGTGATCTCATTTAATATGAAAATGATGTTATTGAAGATTAAAAAATCATATTAAAAAAAGTTGAATTGGAAAATTTGATAACTAATAAGCCTAGTGATAATGAAGCATAGAGAAATATGGCAATCAATAGGAAATAGAAGTAATGCCCATTGTATAGATATCTTTGGAGATCATGTAATTCCAGTTAGGTGGTAAGTCAACAAAATCCAAATATGAACCCTATAGCTGTGTGACCTGACTTTTCTCTCAGTTCTTTATGCTCTCTGTTTCCATCAATTACTTTCTGTTCCAGTTTAAAATATAATATATATATTTAGTTGTTGATAGACCTTTATTTTATTTATATGCAGTGCTGAAAGTCAAACCTAGTGCCTCACACATACTAGACAAGTGCTGTATCACTGAGCTACAACTCCAGCCCTATGTTTCAGTTTTTTAAGCGATCTGTATCTTCATTTCCTTATCTATAAAATGAAGCAATGATAGTGTGCCTATGAGAATTACATTAATTAATATTTTGAATAAAATTAAAACATTGCTTTAATTTAACTAAACATTTTGGTATTCAAATTGGAGCATTCATATTCATAAAGTTTTATGTTCAATCTATAATATTAAATAATTCCTATTAATTTAAGAAAAATACACTTAAGATATTTTAATTAATATTAAGTTAAACTGCAGCATATCAATATAGATAGTGTTTTGATTATTGAAAAGTCAATAATTAACATCCTTATTTGATATTAATCCTTTTCAAAATCAGTTATTAAAATTATCACTTATGTGTATTGTACTTTGGACAGGAAGGTAATCAAAGACTAGTGTATCTTATTCTTTGAATGTATATGGTAGGGAATATTTTGAGAAACAATCTGAAGACTCAAATTATTGGGACAAAATTTAGAGTGTGACTTTTAGAGTGCTACATGATATCCTAGTGTCCTACTCTATGGAAATAATTCATAAAATAAGAAGCTTTTAACTAGTCTTTTGGGGAAAAATCCTATAATAGGTTATTTGAGAAATAAATCATCTTAAAGAAATATATTCACAATTTAGAATCCACTTGGTCAAATCTAGTATATCCTTCAATAAATACTCATCAGTTCCTAATACTGAATACCTACCTCATTATTCATTTTGGGTGATATATTAAATATGAGGACATTAAGGACCAACTTTAGCTGGGCATGGTGGTGCACACCTATAATCCCAGCGGCTCTGGAGACTGAGGCAAGAGGATGGGGAACTCAAAGACAGACTCAGTAACTTATTGAGGCCCTAAGTAACTCAGTGAGACCCTGTCTCTAAGTAAAATACAAAAAAGGGCTGGGGATGTGGGTTAGTGGCTGAGTGCCCCCTGAGTTCTGGGTTCAATCCCCGGTACACCACCCCCCCCCCCCCCCCCCCCCCCCCCCCCCCCCCCCCCGCCAAAAAAATTACCTAGGGATTGTTCTCATAATTTGATAGTGACAGGAGAGTATGATGTTTACTGCATCATTAATTAGTAGTCATTAGATTTTGTAAATAGCAAGTATTCTGCAGTTCTTTTGAAAAAATTCTAAAATCAGCTTTGCTCTGCTTTTCTTGTTCTGTTGTAAAATAGGTTTTCCATGTTAACAGTGCTATAGGACACACTTCATTCCTAAGTGTGTCTATCTGTATACATTTGTTGTATTCTATATGTTCATTGTACATCAGGAGGACCTTTGTGGTTTGGATAAGATGTGATTTTTCTGTTTGTCCCTGTGGTTTAAAGGCAGAAAACAAATAAGTATAATAACTTGATCTTTCAAGCTAGAATTCTGTTTTGTTCAAAAGAAGGAATGAGTTGGGAAACAGGTCCCTTTTCTCATTTAGATTGGGTAAGCCTGCATGACCATTGCAAAGGCAATTATTGGCATAGTGTGATCATCAGGGTAAGGCATAAATGAAAGGGAATGATGCTCAAATCAGAACCAGGTATCTTTGCCACTTTATGGATAACCACACCCCCACACACACACCCTCATTGGCTTTTTTGCCTCTATGGATATTTACGTATGTCATGATTTCTGTATTATCTTTCATTTTCTTAGCCAGAATTGTTGGTTAATTTAAACCTCCTTTCAGCCTATACCTATGACTATTTTTATTTTAAGGTATGTGCCATGAAAGAAGGAGATGGTTAGCTGTACACACTACAGAAATGTAACCGAGGTCCTGGGGCTGATCTCCAGCATCACAAAACAAAAACAAGCATAACCTGAATTTTAGAATAAATTTCTCTGTGTGTCCCTTAGTCTGTTCCCCTTCCAGGGTAGGTAGCCTTTTTCACTGTCAAAGAGGAAGGAAACTTCTTTTACTTAAAATGTCATTTGCTCTTCAGTGTTATTTCATAACTGTCTCCTATTTGAACCTTACACAAACATGAGAGTTGGGAGAAATCTTTGCTCATTTTTCAAGTGAAGTGACTGAAAAAAAAAAAAGGAAGGTTGAGAGTATATAGTAAGTCATAGAGCTGATCCTCCTGGAAGAGGGATCAAGGCTTCGTGATCTCTTTTCCTAATAATGATATAATATGATATGATATGCACGCAACATTAAGATGCAGTCTTTCCCTCTTTATGCGGTGTATTTTGGGTTTGTTTACCTGTTAGTTATTCTCTTCTTATAAAAGTCATCTTTATCCCTCACACACTCATACACACACACACACACTCACTCACATACTTCTGCATGCATCATTTTGAAGAGCTTAGGCCTGTTTATTTGTAGAGAGTTGTCCAAGTCTGATGTTCCCAGACCATGGCTTTCAGAATAGAGTCTCCAGGTACCTTCTCTGAATTATCAGAAAAAGCATAAGTCATGTTTCTTTTATGTTAAACAGTTTTAGGTTTCAAAAATTGACGAGCCATTCTTGCATTAAATCATAATTAATAAGCAGACTTTTATTAATTAGAACCTTCTGATTTTCCTAGTTTTAGTTTTTCTGGAGTCTATCATCTATAAGAGGATGGCATTCTAAAGTTCTTCATTGTATATGATAGTGGTGTCCTAACAGAAACGCCTCAGTGACCTTCATATATATCATTGGAATGTATAAAACTCTTGGGATCTTACTGGTCAATTTGAAGATCTTGGGAAAATCCTTAGCAATAGAGTGTTTTTAGATTAGGTATTTATCACTGAGTTAATTATCACAAAGATGATTGGAGTGGCAGTTCTTGGTGCTCCATGCAGGTTGATCTAATATTTTTCTTTTGGATAAATTGATTGCTGGGTAATTTCTGTGTGACAGGAGTATATCAGGCGACAGCTAGAAGAGGAGCAGCGGCACTTGGAAATCCTTCAGCAGCAGCTGCTCCAGGAGCAGGCCATGTTACTGGTAACGCCCCATCTCTGTCCTGTTCCCTAGCACTAGGACGTGTTTGTCCCTTCCCCAAGTTGTCAAGCTGTGGTGATCACCAGATCTTTTTGGTTTTGCCTTGGGCAGCCAGGCTCAAATGGAGACATCCTTTATGGTCAGACTGCTTGGGTACGGTGCAAGGTGGCTTTTATTTATTCATTTACTTCCCATTAGTAAGTCACTGTTAGGTAGTAACTGTTCTTGTTTAGTAGCTACACAAGGTGTTGAACAGGACTTGACATTCAGCGAACATGCAGCTTATGCTGTAGGATTTATACCTAATATACACACTACTGACATCAACATTAAATTGAATTCTTTCATGCTCTCCAATGATGTTACACTTAGCAAGAGCCATCATATTTCTCCACAGGTAATATTCTGTGTAAGATCCCAGCCATTTTGCTGTGTTATAAAACAAGGGAGGCCAGGGGATTGTCTTGATGGGGGGAGTCAAGCACAAATCCAGAGAAGAGGCGAGCTCTCCAGTGTCCCATAGATTTAGTGTTATCCTCTCCCTCTCCAAGGAGTGCCGATGGCGGGAGATGGAGGAGCACCGGCAGACAGAGAGGCTCCAGAGGCAGTTGCAACAAGAACAAGCATATCTCCTGTCTCTACAGCATGACCACAGGAGGCCGCATCCGCAGCTCCCGCAGCTCCCGCAGCAGCAGCCGCTGGCACAACAGGAAAGGAGCAAACCCAGCTACCACACCCCAGAGCCCAAGTCCCACTATGAGCCTGCTGAMAGAACTCGTGAGGTATCTTCCTTCTTGCTTGCTTAGACATTGGTCCTGCTCTGGAAAGTAATCTCCTGACTGTTCGGAGTAGTACAGTGTTAATGGTAGAATAAGTCTTCTTAAGATCAGCTGATAGTCCACCTTTATTTTCTAGCTGGTAGAGGATGTAAATGCCCAAGCTCTCCTATCTGGTTTGTGCTTTTTCTATAAAGGACCAGGGTACCTTAGTTAACAGATCTTAAGAATTGAAAGCTAAACTAAGTGAAGATTGATTGTATGCAGAATCATTCTCTAAAATGTAAACAAGAGAAATGGTAGTCTTGGTTTACTGTTTCTCCACAACTAATACCAGGAGGAAGAATGCCTTTAGGCCTGTATGTTACTGAATCAACTGATACTTCTGGGCTAAACCGAACCTCCCATTAAATGCAGCAAAGTACACCCTATTCTGGGTTGTTGGGTAGGTGGGACTTGTGTGTTTCCACAAGTTGAGTTCCTTCCTGCCTGTAGGTGGCATCCTTCCACTGTGTCTGTTCTCAGAAGTAGCAGTTCTAACAAGTGTTATGCTTGGTCTGAAAGAGTTATGCTCTTTATTTTTTTGAGGAATGAAATGGCTGTGTCTGAAATGCCTTTATTTTCTGAGGAATGAAATATGTTTTGGATTCCTGATGATAGTCTTTAATCTGTTGGGTTAGTTGGTTTTGACAGATTTTTTCCCTCTAGCTTATCATTATGTATAATCCTAAAGCCCTGGGCACAGAGATCTTAGAGGCTGCAGTGCTTAATTTTTATTTTCATAAGTACTTTTCCTAAGTCAAATCCCAGCCCTGCTCTATCTGCCTTTTTTTTTTTTTTTTTTTTGCCATCATACTGCCTTTCTCTTTTCATATAGCTGAGGGAAAAAATACCAGAAAGTTTATCTTTTTAGAGTTCTTCCACTTTCAGACTTTCTTTGACATCTCTGCTTTTCCCTACTAACACAGAGTTATGTCTTCTAATTCTCTGCTGCAGGTGGAAGATAGATTTAGGAAAACTAACCACAGCTCCCCTGAGGCCCAGTCTAAGCAGACAGGCAGAGTATTGGAGCCACCAGTGCCTTCTCGATCAGAGTCTTTTTCCAATGGCAACTCCGAGTCTGTGCATCCTGCCCTGCAGAGACCAGCGGAGCCACAGGTAGCAACAGCCAGCTTTTCCGTGGTGGAGGAAACTTGTGTGGCTCGCTGGGCCTTGGGCCTTCTTATAACAGCCACCCTTAGTTTGTTACTAGTGACAAACTTTAAAAAAAAAAAAAAAAGATGAGTCTCTAATTGATAGGAAAAAAAAAAAGAAACCTTTTTTTAAAGGATTTTGGTTGAACTTAGTAAGGATATTTAGAGTCAGTAATTCCTTTTTCTTGCCTTGCGTCAGATATGAAATGCCTCCTTCTCTTTCTAAAACAAGAAGACTTTTTAGTTTAGTTTTTAGAAGGTTAATATTATAAGCACATGAAGAGAAGAACCAGAACCTTTTGTTCCAAGCATTTTAAAAGTGTTTGCTATGTGACCCCTGGCTCCTACCCATTGCTTTGAGTGGACCTTAAGGAGCCAATGATATTCCTGAAATTCTGTGCAGACGTTTTTGTCTAAATATGCATGTATTTCTTGAAAAGGGCCCTTTATCAGATTCTCAAAAGGTTCAAGATCCCTTTGGTTTATGAGACAGCAGATTGGGCATGAATTTCTCTGAAGGAGGCCATCTAGGCAGTATTCTGTCTTTTCTGGGTGAGGGAGCACCATTGGTCGGAGTGTATATGGTTAAAGAGAAAAGCTGCAGCTGGGTGCAGTAGTGCATACCTGTAATTCTGATCCTTACATGAGGCAAAATGTATTCCAAGCCCTTTTTATTTTTTTACTTTCAGACAGTCTAGTGGTTGAGGCTTCTAGGATCAGAAGTTTGAGGCCAGCCTCAACTACTTAGACTGTCTGAAAGTAAAAAATAAAAAGGGCTGGGAATGCATTCCTTGCCTAGCATGTTCGCAGCCCTGGGTTTAATATCAAGTTGCTCTGCTGTAGAACAGCAAAAATTTCCTAGGCCAGAGATCTCAGAGAGCCCTGAAACACTTATTTTGCTATCTCCCTGAAAATAGCTGACATTTAGACATTTCTCCCTTGGTACTGTGGAATCCAAACTGTTGGGAACTCAGGTTCCTAAGCCTGGGTGTCCTTGTCAGGGGGATTTGTGTGTGTAGGGGACAAAAGTTTGTGTTCTTGAGACAGAAGTAGCAGTAACGTTCTGAAAAACACATTTACTTGATGGCTGTAGAGTGATACACAGTAAATAATCTCCTTGAACAATGCGGGGAACTGCAGCCAGGAGGAGTTAACAAAAAGAAAGAAGAACACAGCTGAGGCAAAGACAGTGGTGTGTGGGTGAGGAGGGTTTACATGGGATCAACAGTTTGTGAACCCCAGAGGAGCTGGTCTGTCTGCGAGGAGAATAAGGGATGAAAAGGAAAAGACAGGAAAGAGGGAAACAGAGGTAAAAGAAGAGGGGCAAGTCGACTAGGTTGGATGGTACTTTAACAACTTGGCACTGTTTCCCAGCACAGATAGATTTGAAGAGTAGAAAATAAAAGCTTCAGTTCTGGAAATTAGGCTTAACACAAATGGAAAATCTGTTTGGCCCCTAACAGTATAATATAGGAGTTCCTGAGTTATTTCATGATTAGTTTAATTATTGAATAGTTACTTCATGRTTAATTAAATGTATGGAAATACTCCTTTCTTCCTGTTTTGAAGTTGATTTTGGCTGAAGCAAATACCTATGACGCATTCTTAGGGGGAGAATTTACTCATGTGGGGCTCTTTTAAACCCTATTATTGATTGTAATTTCAGGTAAAAATTTTATTTGTATGCTTTGTCCTGAAAATCTCAAACATGTTAGAAGTCTGGGATTAACCAATAATTGGGATTATTTTAAGCTTACCTGTAAATTATAGATATTGTATACATGGAGCTAACTCTACATCTTATATATACTTGAGAGGTTAAACAAGTTGTGATTTGGTATTTTCTGTTTTCATTAAATACATTGAGAAAATAGATATGTAGCTAGAATTATGTAAGTTGAATGTGGAGCAATTATTTTAAAAGAATAAGGTTTATATTTAGTGAAAATATTTTATGGGTTTTATCAGAGATTGTTTTCCTACTTTAAAAGTACCCAGATAAACTCAGCTGACAAGTATTTGTCACAATTCTCGAATTGCCAAGAGGAGTATTCTAATAGCAGACATTTTAGGGATTTCCCTAGTACTAAATGTTCTTAAAGAAATCACATTCTTCTTTTCAGAACTAGTGTGAAGGTGTATGAGTATTTTAAGCCCTGGGAAGAAATAAGAAAAATTATTGATGAATTTGCAAAGTTGGCTTTTTTTTTTAAGTTATAGTCTTTCAAAACAGGTGGTGGGGTTGTCTTTGCTCATTCAATGTGTTGTATTGTTACTTGGTCTGAAATCTCAACACTGCCAGGTGGTATGAGGAGGACAGTAGGTGGGTTTGCCTAAGCAGTGTTTATCTTGAGATCTATTTTCTGCCTTTCTTTGCCTCTCTAGTATCTGCTTTGACATCAATATGCATGTAGTCCATTGCCCCACTTCAGGCCTATAAATCTTGACATTTACTGCTATCTGTAACATTTGTCCGGATACTAGGAGTTTTCCTTATTAAATGTACATTTGTTCTTTCAACATACTGTTTTCCCCAGATCACGTTTTCATTTAGACCTGTAACTGATTTACTGCCCTGTTACCTTGTATTATACTGCCCCAACTTGCATTCCACTTTTGCCAGTTCCTACTTTGGATTTGGTATTGACCAGAAAAGCCAGTTTTATGCAGAACGCATTGAATGTTTTGTGTTTTGTTTTCTTGTAAGGTACAGTGGTCCCACCTGGCATCTCTCAAGAACAATGTTTCCCCTGTCTCGAGATCCCATTCCTTCAGTGACCCTTCTCCTCCCAAATTTGCACACCACCATCTTCGTTCTCAGGACCCATGTCCACCTTCCCGCAGTGAGGTGCTCAGTCAGAGCTCTGACTCTAAGTCGGAGGTACCTGACCCCACCCAAAAGGCTTGGTCTAGATCAGACAGTGACGAGGTGCCTCCAAGGGTAAGGAGCAGAAAGACAGATGTATGCTGCTTTTTCCTTTTTATTATTTTAAAAATATTTATTTTAATAATGGTTATGGTGATTTCACCAGAATTAAAGGGGCAATGAAATTTCAAAGGAGCCTTTTACCGTGGGGAACAAGTTTTATAATTAGGCAGTTATATTTAGTCAGTGGCCAATTAGCCTTTTATTGCTGTTGTTAACTCTGTACTTAAACATAAGAAAGCAAAATTTGATTCAGAGAAGACTCTATAAACAATATGGTTCTAGAACAAATAGAATCATAATTCATAGGTTTATAAGAGGCTATACAACATTATTTTAAAATTGACCAATGTCAAAACTTTCAGAAAAGGTCTTCTAATGAAGATTAACATGCAAATCTCAATGAAAATTTTTTTCTTTTTCAAAATTTAGGTTTTTTATTTTTATTTTTGGATGGTGGGGGTAATTACTTAATGGTATAATTAAACAAAAGGGCACATTTTAGTGTAATTTTCTTCCAGTTGGAATTTGCTTCTTCTGAGTATTTCCTTGCTTCTTGCCAGTCTTTGCTTTCTGCTGATCCATTTGAAGACCATTATTTGATTTCCTTGAACTTGTTTTCCTGATTCTCACATTATCTCAGCAAAGTGCTCTTGAATGTCCCCTGCCAGCAGCTTTAATCTAAACATCATTTAATTGTTGCAGGAGCACAGCAGGGCCGATTGTCCTGGCTCCTTAGATGCATTTGGCTAAACCAGTGAAGGACCAGAGGAAGATTAGGGAGGGAGTGAGTGGGTTGATGACTATCTTAAAAATACATTTGGTAGGGAGATCTTTGTTCTCCACCTCAGGTTTTCTATAGTTTAACTGCTGTACTTTCTACCTAAAGGTTCCTGTGAGAACAACATCTCGCTCCCCTGTACTGTCCCGTCGGGATTCCCCACTGCAGGGCAGTGGACAGCAAAATAGCCAAGCAGGGCAGAGAAACTCCACCAGGTAAACGAAGAGTGCATTCTCCTATAGTTTTATGTTGTCTGTTTTAATAAAAACACAAACATTGATGTTCTCGGGCAAAAGATTTAAATATATGTAGATCTACACAGATAGATCTATATATATTTATTCACAAACATGAATCTAGATCAAGTTGATCTAGAGTAAAAAGAGGGTTGGAATCTAGGTGTGTATTGTAATTTTGAAGTTAAAACTAACTGACCCTGTAAGATTAAAAGGAGGAACTGTCAGAAGAGAAAGAAGTTGTAAGAGATGTAATCTATGGAGTTTTCTACCCAAAGAAAATTGTAAGGCCTGTGGAATAGTGTAGAAATCATAGATAGGCAACTAAAGATAGCCAATGGTTATTTGACAGTCTAGTAAATTAACCAAATAATACGGTTTTCTGGTTCTAAAGCACCAGTGTAGTAGCTGTTAGCCATGTGTGGCTTGTTAAATTTGAATTTAACTTAGTTAAAATGAAACAAAACTAATACATCATTTCCTTAGTTGGATCAGCAACCTTTCAAGTGCTCTGTAGCTGCATGTAGCTAGGGGCTAGAGTACTACACAGCTCAGATGTAGAACAGTTTTATCACTGCAGAAAGCTCCTTGACCAGCATTATGCTAGGTGAGAGATTTTGTTGCGTGTTTTATAACTGGTCATTACTGAAGCTTTCTAAGGCTGGCCTTTTGCATGTGCCCAGCCTTGGTATAACTTGAAGTGGGGAGATGGATAATAACCAAGGATCTTCAGAGAACCCGTAGTATTTATGACCAGAGAGGGCTGTGGTGTTCTGTGACTGTGTCTGTGTTATGAGTTCTTTACCCAGCAAATATGTGCTGTCAGTCTGTCTGGTTATAGCGGGAAATCCATCCCAGCCTGTGTTTTCAGTAATATTCCCCAAACAGCTCAGATAAAGAAGTGTACTTTGAAAGTTCAGGGTATGAGAGCTGCAATGGATAAGAGAGAGCACACTAGATCCAAGAGATAATTGTGTTTATAATTATATAAGTAAAGTTTTTCATAATATTAAGACTTGAATTAAATTTGCAATGACAGAAGTGGTGATGTTTCTAGACTGAACAGTCACATTTTGTTTCAGACCTGAATGAGGAGTTTAGGGGTTTTAAAAATAGGAATTAGCTAGCATTTTTGGTTGGTTAAGATATCCAAGATAAAATCCATGAATAAAGTCACTACGACTTTTGGAGAATTTAATGTGAAATGTTGTGTGAGGTTATTCTCTCATCCCTACTTTTCACAATTCATGCATATGATTGTCATTTGGTACTATGTCTTGGGATGATGCATTAGCTGTTGTCTTTTCTTTCTAACAGCAGTATTGAGCCCAGGCTCCTGTGGGAGAGAGTGGAGAAGCTGGTGCCCAGGCCAGGCAGTGGCAGCTCCTCAGGGTCCAGCAATTCAGGATCCCAGCCCGGGTCCCACCCTGGGTCTCAGAGCGGCTCTGGGGAACGCTTCAGAGTGAGATGTAGGCTGCTTCTCCTTTGCTCTTTCCTTGTGAACAACCCTGGGCTATGATCATTATATCGAAAGGCTTTCATTTGTTTAAAAAAGAAGAAGAAAGATAAGAAAAATCTATGGTTTGCATGTAGCTGCATGTCATGAAACAGTGCCTTAGTATAGGCTGCTAATGACAAAAATAGACATCATAATTTCATCATACAGAGCTAAATTTTGAGAGCTTTACACGTGTTTATCACTGGCAGCACTTTACAATTGAATGTGATTAACTGACTTGTCCAACATAACTAAATGTCTAAGCTGCCATTTGAACCCCTTTCTTCCAATATGAGCGCCAGGGCCTTTGCTCTCCCCAGTATTATTGATGATGATTATTGATGATATCATAGTAGTGAAAACTGCCTCCACTGTGTTCTTGAGGTAAGGTATTAATTTGGAGCATACATTCAGTAGTGTATGCTGATGGAGAATTCTGAATAAGGCATTAGAAAGGTACCAGACTGCCTTCGGGTCTCCCTTTTGCCCTGAGTTCAGACCTTGCATGAGTGGGGCTAATAGAAGTGGGCAGTAGAAAAGGGGGAGAAACAGAAGACTCTGTGAGTTGGGACAGCTCAGTGACATACATCTTAGGTTTATATGTGTCTTTCTTGTCTCTTTTGAACTTAACAGCATCATCCAAGTCTGAAGGCTCTCCATCTCAGCGCCTTGAAAATGCCGCAAAAAAACCTGAAGATAAAAAGGAAGTGTTTAGACCTGTCAAGCCTGCTGTAAGGATTGCATAAAATGAGTCTTGCTTACTTTAGACTTAAGTGAGATCTTTCTATTAAAAATATGGTTGAGGGGCTCAGGGTGTAGCTCAGTGGCAGAGCCATGTGTTTAGCATGCACAAAGGCCCTGGACTGGAGTTTCAGCCGTTCATGCGCAAACTCACATGCACACACAGTGTTTGAGAGGCCTGCAGTTTTTTCTTTTGAACTCTTCCCAGATGTGAGGAATTGCACTGTCTTATACCCAGATACAGTTGTGCTTCTCCCTTAGGCATTTATTTCCTAAGTAATGTCCTGAGTATAGAATGAAGTCTGTTTTCTAGTGTTTCAACTGTACGCTTTGTGTTCAGTCATCTATACAAAGAAACACGGAACAAAGTGTAGTTTTTACTTAATTAAATTTCATTTTAAGAAAAGCCTTTATATTGCTTTGCTTGGCATTAACTTCACTTATTCTTCATGACTTGATCATTGACAGTGCTGGTTTTTAGACTAAATTTGTTTGATTCACCTTCCTAAACTCACTGGCTGCTTAAATTCTGGCTTTCAGTCCCTGGGATGATGATGGCTGGGACTGCTCCACGTACTTCCCCTGTGCTCCCTGTCTCATTCACTGGCCGTGTATGGGGGTGTGGTGGAGTTTCAGATCTGTTTAAGTTTTGTTTTCCTGCTTCAACTGACTTCTGCACTTCTTCCCCATACCCTTCTTTCTGCCATGCTCCCTCTTCTGTGTACTCTTCATCAATGGTGGCTTCTTGGACTCCATGAAACTGCTGCTGTCCTGAAGGGCGAAGTGGTAAGCCCCGTCTCTGAAGAGCTCAGCCTCAGAGCCAGCTTTCCGAATGACTCTTAACTAGCTCACCTTTGAGCTACATTCCTTCTCCTTCCTCGCCTTGCCTTTTTGATCTTTTCTAGGAGATAAAAGCCTTAAACTTAATGACTTCAGCTTTGTTAATGCACAAAACATGCTTCATGCATCTAGTATCATTTAATATAGCTTTTTAAGCAACTATAAAAGGCTACATACAACTTGTAATCACACCAGTTAAGTAGACTCATAGCCCTACTCTTGATCCCTGTTCAGAAGTTTAAGCGCAAAGATAAGAAACATATTCTCATCAGTAGGAAGGAAGAAAACTAGGTTGGAACTACTAAAAATAAAAAAAAAAAAAAAGCTACATGGCCTGCTTTAAAAACAAAACAAAATACTCCTTTAAAATTTCCAAGTAAAAAGATAAAATTTGGACTCGCATAAAAATGTGGAGTATAAATATAGTAATCAACTCTTAAAAATTAGATTGAGAGGCTGGGTGTGGTGGCACGCATGTCTGTAATCCCAGCATCTTGGGAGGCTGAGACAGGAGGATCGTGAGTTCAACGCCAGCTTCAGCAAAAGTGAGGTGCCAAGCAACTCAGTGAGACCCTGTCTCTAAATAAAATACAAAATAGGGCAGGAGATAATGGCTCTGTGGTTGAGTGCCCCAGAGTTCTATCCTCTGCAAAAGGACTCCTCCCTTGCAAAAAAAATTACATTAAGAAATTTGAGGGCTGAGGTTGTGGCTCAGTCGTAGAGCATTTGCCTAGCATGTGTGATGCACTGGGTTCGATTCTCAGGACCTCGTATAAATAAATGAACAAAATAGAGGTCCATCAACAACTAAAATTTTTTTTAAGATATGAATATTAAAATGTCTATAGAAAAGTCTAGAGTAAAGTGTAGTGAAGCCCTTTTTGAATATATTTTAATATGGATTTTTTTTCTTTTTTTCTGTTCACTTTCGCTAGTGGTATGAATGGGGAAATGTGGGTAAGGCTGGGAAAAGGGGTTAGTGGGAAGCCTGCCCTGTTTGCCTTCCTGCCCACAGCACATGAGAGGTCATTGCTTTCTCTCTTCATAGTCGTGAACTTTTTTCAGAAATGCGGCAAGTTACTAACAGGAAAATATCACACTGGTCCTCACTTCAACTGTCATTTTTCTGTTGGCTTGAAATTTTTTTAAAAATTGGAGAAAAAATTTAAATAAAAACCTGCTTTAACTAGAAGCTTGCTCTCTGCATTGTCCCCTTAAAAGAACATTTTTGTCATATATGTAGATGTCTTTATAACAGAGATCAACGATTTCTCTGTGTACATTGGTTGATCTGGCATTTTGCCTTATATCTGAAAACAACAAAAAAATACAGTCATCTTATTATAAGCAGATTGTTACGTTGTTGTAAGATTCGAATTGTCTGCAACATTCTTGACCTTTTTTTATGTTCTTTTCTATTTTTTAGTCTATTTTTTATTTCTTTCCCTTTCATATCAAAAATTATAAAAACTTAACTTTGTATGAAACTGGCAAATAGAAAATTAGTTTTATAAAATTGACATTGTGACTGTTCATTGAGATTTAAAATGAAAAACCTCTGTCTTTTGTGTATCCTTACCACCTTCCCCATTTTGCCTAACTCACTCTTTTCTGCCCTGTGCATTAGGATTTGACTGCATTGGCCAAAGAGCTTCGAGCAGTGGAAGATGTGCGGCCACCTCACAAGGTGACGGACTACTCTTCCTCCAGTGAGGAGTCAGGGACCACCGATGAGGAGGATGACGACGTGGAACAGGAGGGGGCTGACGAGTCCACCTCAGGACCAGAGGACACCAGAGCAGCGTCAGTCCTTAGCATATTTTAGGATGGTCTTCCCAGTGGCAACCAGAAGTTTTCCCCAACTGATTAATGCTCATAGACTCTGTGCGCATTAATATGTAGTTTCACTGCTTAAGCAGCAAACAGCTTTTGGGCTTTCCCCCTTTATCTCTGTATGTGTGCATGTCAGTGCCTCCCTCAACATCCCAACATATGCTTTATTTTTTTTTCTTTAATGATTTGATAAAAAGGAAATTTCAGTTGAATAACAAATTAACTATAAGAACTCCTTCTAACTTTTTGCTCATGCAAAACTGCACAGCAGGAGAATTCTTTGTTGAAGGGACAAAGCTAAACTCTTGCTTTCCTTCAGAAGACTTTATACTGTAGCCTCATCTCACGTTTTGACTTTGAGAAGGTAAAAATTCTAAATAGGATATCTTCGACTTGTGGGAATAGAGTCCTTCACTTCTGGATTTTGTCTCCTTAGGTCATCTCTGAATTTGAGCAATGGTGAAACAGAATCTGTGAAAACCATGATTGTCCATGATGATGTAGAAAGTGAACCAGCCATGACCCCATCCAAGGAGGGCACGTTGATTGTCCGCCAGGTACCATTATCCTCCTTGTCAGAGGCTAAGCTTCTCCTATAGTCATTAACCCACTTGCTCATTCACTCACTCATGCTGTTTCTACATCATCATCTGTTTTCATGTTAACAAGACCCTGAGAGTAGTGTGTCTGGGGCTAGGGAGGCAGGTGTGTGCTGCATGCCACAAAGGTAGCCGGTAGTCCTCCACCCCACATTGCTGTTCCTCTGCATGCCTGTGGCAGCCCTCATCCAAGCACCACGCTGAGTCTCACAGTCTGTCTGAGCAGTAGAAAAGTCATAGGGTGTCCTTTGCAGGCTCAAAGAGTAAGGGCACAAACCTTGAATGAGTAAGGGCACAGACCTTGAGTAGGAGTGGACAAGGTGGGTGGGATGAGCCTCGTTCCAGTCCCGTGGAGACTTGGGCACACGGGTCAGGAGGTCTCTCTTCTGTGCTCCAGAATATTAGTTTTCCCACTAGGTGAAGAATTAAATGTGTACCACCAGATGTGCTCAGTTTGGATCGCTGTGTCGTACAACTCTCTGTTCATTCTTAGCTTAGACCTTCTTCATCCAAGTGATATGCTCCTCGTTGAAACAGGACAGGGCACCCTGCTAGTCTTTGGGACTTGCCTCAGTGTGTTTCATGCTATGGCAATGCATTTGGATGGAAAGTAGAAGGAACGTGGAAAAGACCAGAGAAGCCACCGGGTACTCTAAAGAACTTTAGACAAAGATTTACAAAGAACAAAAGGGGGAGTAGTCTTGTAAGAAGTGAGTGCCCTTCGTGGAACAGATGGAAGAATCAACTGCTAGAGCTGTGTGGCCACCAGAGGAGGCACTTTGAATTCTGTTGGCTCAGCTTAGGCATTTGGTGAGCAAGTGTGAGCAAGTCCGGCTAATTTCCTTGGTTTTCCCTTGGTATTTTAACAGAGTTTGAAAAGTCACACAGCACCTAAAACAAAGCAGTTATCAGTAGGGTCGTAGGCAATGTCAGCAGCGCTTGAGCGAGACCAGTGTGCCTGTTTTTTCTACAGAGTACAGTTGACCAAAAGCGTGCCAGCCATCATGAGAGCAATGGCTTTGCCGGTCGCATTCACCTCTTGCCAGATCTCTTACAGCAAAGCCATTCCTCCTCCACTTCCTCCACCTCCTCCTCCCCATCCTCCAGCCAGCCGACACCCACCATGTCCCCACAGACACCCCAGGACAAGCTCACTGCTAATGAGGTATGTCTCACACCACAGCTGGCTGCTTTCCTGGGGTTAGACCAGCACTGCCTAGGAGCTAGTTTGCAAAGGAGACCCTCTTCCCTTCCCTTCCCTTGCTTTCTTCTGTCACCTACCCTCTTCCCCAACCCCCAAGTAACATGTTTCAGATCTGAATACAAATCCCTTAACCCTAGATTGATTTCCCTCCAAACTTGCCAGTTCACTATTTACTTTCTCTACATAAGTATAGTTGCATGGCTTTCTTTATTCAGTTTATTTTCTTTTAAATCTAAATAAATGATTGCTGTGTTCTCAGATCCATTATGTATTTGGCATGAAATTCTCATAGTCATTTGTGGAAACTTCCCTTTTCATTCTTTTTATGCAGTAAATATAGTGTAGGAAAATTTGGTTAAGCAGACTTGGCCTTACCTGAGGGAACTGGTTATCTTGTAAAGGAATCTCCTTCAAACAGGCCTGGATTRTTTTCTTTTTGCTGGGAGGGTGGGGGTTGTTGGTTGGTATTCTTACTTGTTTTTACCAGCCCTTTTCAAAGGCTTTTCTTTCCTTGAAATTCACAGTTACTCAAAGTGTTATAGAAGGCCAAATGCTTTTGGGGGAAACATAGAAAATTAGGATGTTAAGCAAGGACAAAGGAGAGTGAGAGCTTCTAATTTAAGACTTTGTATGGGAAATCCTGTGTGTGTGGTGTGGCTGTGCTACTTGGTCTGGGTGCTAGCTGGGTGATTCTTTGCACTTTGAACAGAATCAGGCTAAGTGCAGTTACAGAGTACACCTTGAGCACCGTGTAAATAAGTAATTTGACTTCACAGGAGATTAGATTTAAATGCATTTACCTAAGAATTGAGGGAAGTTGAACTAACATGTAGCTTCAGCCAGTCTCATTAATATAAACACTTACCTGACTGCTGCTCCTATTTTCATTCCTTTGTTAGAAAGAATTAGAAAAATCTTCTCCCTGAGGAGGAGGCTCAGCATCCCATTGGCCACCAGCTGGGTTGGCCACTGACTCATGGGGGTAGGAGGAAAGGCTGTGAGGTGCCACCTGTGTCAGGTGGGGAGCTCAGGAAAGCCTGGGCTATAAGAATGGTGACTTTAGATGCCCATAGAGGGAGTGAAATGATAAAGCATAAAAGCACTTGATCAGACATGTTCTTTTTTGCTCCTGGGATGTGTATCTCACTTGCATTCCTCCTTATATTTTACACTTTGCACCATTTTACTGTATTTTACTATAACCCTTAACTCACTAAACTGGCAAGTTTATTTTCCTGTTTGTTTTGTTTTTAATTGTCATTACATTTTCACTTAACAATTGTTTCACTTCCTTTGTGGGTTTTTTTTTTGGGGGGGGGAGTCTTAAGTTACATTATTAACCAAAACACTAGCGTTCCTAAAAGATGGAAAGGGTATGCCTTATTTCACCATTAGCACCTTTCACTAATGAGCCTGTTTGGTGTGGGTTTAATGATGATGCGCCTAAAATGATGGCAGCCAGAGCTTCTGTAACTTTCTGGCAAGAGGCTCCATTTAAAATAAATAAAACAAAATTAAGGTTTGCCAGATTTCCAGCATAGATTAATTGGACTTTAATAGGCAGGGGAATAAATTTGGAAATTAGTGAATTGAAATTAACATTTCAGGTCTCTATTAGGAGTTTACATTATAATTATTTAATTTAAATAAAAACAGGAGCATGAAATATAGATTTTATTATTAGCTTGTGGCATGGCTCCCTAGGTGTACATCTCTGAAAGAGATGGGATTCCCCCACTGGCTGCAGGTGAAAACATCTGTTCAGGGGTATGCCTGCCCACATGGAGGCTCACTGCAGTATGTCTGTGGGAAGTTTTGTCTGTAGGGTTTGGATTGGGAAGTAGTGCAGTATACCAAAGTAGACTTAAATATGTGTGGGGGTTTTTTTGTTTTTTGTTTTTTGTTTTTTTTTGGTTGTTATTGTTGGTTTTTATGTTCACTTTTAAAATGTCATTTGTATTAATGAAATTGAAATTTACATTGCAGACACAGTCCGCTAGTAGCACACTCCAGAAACACAAATCTTCCTCCTCCTTTACACCTTTTATAGACCCCAGATTACTACAGATTTCTCCATCTAGTGGGACAACAGTGACTTCTGTGGGTAAGTATAGTAGCAGTAAGAAAGTAGCTGACCGATGAGACTTGTTCCCTTGGTGTTGATCTTTCAAGTGGCTTAGGCACAGCAGGAGGGTTGTGCACAGGGTCAGGCCTTGGGTGCAGAAACCTCCCAGCCCCCTTGCGTTGCCTTAACTCACAGAGAACTGCATAGGCATTTACTTTTTCTGTATGCATTTCTTACAAAAACATTTTTTTCTTGACAAAGTATCATTTATGGCATATGAATATTTACTTGAGGTATAGTGAGAGAGGAAGGAAGGCATGGTTGTGGGTGTGTATACAAAAAATAATTTCAATCATACTGTGTTTCAGTGGGATTTTCCTGTGATGGAATGAGACCGGAAGCCATAAGGCAAGATCCTACACGGAAGGGCTCAGTGGTCAATGTTAACCCCACCAATACTAGGCCACAGAGTGACACCCCTGAGATTCGCAAATACAAGAAGAGGTTTAACTCAGAGATTCTATGTGCCGCCTTATGGGGTAGGTATCTTTCTGTTACTCTGCCTCTTGCTTTTATTCTGGAGAGTGGTCAGGTCTTTTATAGAATTACTATTTTTCATAGTTGGGTGATTTTTTTTTTTTTTTAAGGGTTGGCAGCTTCTATGATTTTTCTACTGAGTGCATTGATAGGCAGAGAGAGTCCCTATGCACTTGTGGTTGTTTCAGCAGGCAAATGTTAGAACACCAGTGTAAAGAATAGTAAAGAGATAGCATTTGGTCCGCATTTACAAGAATGAAAAAGTTCATTGAGTTGCTTTCCTTTAAATATTTCAGTTCCTCTTTCTGTCTTGTTCTCTGTGCTTTGGACTGATATCCAAACAAGACTTTTAAAAGTAGTCTGCAGTAGGAAGGGACTGTTGAACCGGCTGGCCTGTGGAATCCCTGCAGTGTTTGTGTAGCATCCTCCAAACTAAAGATACTGTGAGACGGAATCTGTGAATGATTGGTTGCATGGACACATCTGCCTCTTCAAATTCTGAAACTTGCCGTCCTGCCAACTCTGATCCTGTACTTGTCCTAAACCTGCCATCCAGGCATATACTTTAATTTAATTCTTCAGTTGACTATTTTTAATAATGAGTCTATTTCTACCCAGAAAAGTGTCTTACTTTCTTGGTGTTTGTACATATAGATGGTAGAAGACATGAAATCCATGGGTTTGAGGTCCACAGCACCTGTCCCATAAACAGTCTTGTTCCTTGAATGCTAGCAGCCACTGCATTCCTCAGGTTACTGAATCGGCTCTCTTCTCCTCACCCACTCTGGTCTCTGGCATACTTAGCCACTCTCCTTCCTGATGCTTCATAGGAAAAGCAGTTGGGGCTGACATAAGGGCTTCCACTTTCATCTTTCAAACCTCAAAAGTGTTTCTGCTTCCTTTTGTTGAGGAAGGGGGCCTCCTCATTCCTCCTTATCTACCTTCTTTTTATTTAGTCTTTCCTTGACTTCTCACCCTATTCATAAACTCCTACTTGTCTGCTCACCCAAGGTTTTTGGGAGAGTTGATATCCATTGCAGGTGTACCTATTTTCTTTTTTATACCTTGAGATCTGGATTTCTGGCCTTGTAACTACTGGAAAAGTATTCTGAAACCTCTAATAATATATAATTGCTTTTTTCTTTATTAATCACATAGATAAAGGTAAGAATAATTCTTTGGGGATTGTAGGCATTATGGAAGCACCTGACACAGCATCATCACCAGCACATGGATGTCACATGATGTCAGTTGCCACCATTTCAGGGAGTGGAATTTCATCATTTTCTTTCATATTAAATGATTTCATTGAGAGCATTTGTGTCCCCAAAAAACTATTAACATTACCTAAATACAGTACAGCGATAGTGTGAAACAAATCAATACTTTTCAAAGTAGTAATCCGTGTTTATCAAGCTGCATTATTTTTATTCGGAATAGTTGTGTTTGGGAATAGTCTTATTCTTAACTTTATGTTTCACTAGTGCCCTAGAGAGTGCTGAACCCCATTCTGTATACCATCAAGTGAATTTTTATTAGTTAAAAATGAGACTTCTGAAATCTTTCTTTTCCTGATTAACTCCTTCAGGACTTCTAAGAAAATTCAACAGTATCTCAGGACATTTTTTCTTTCTTTCTTTTTTTTTTTTTTTAATGCACTGAAACTTCACATTTTATCATCATGTTAAAAGAACAGATAGGGAGATGAATTAACATTGAAATACGTTTGTGTAAATAAGTGGGTTGAGATGCTTTTGGGGATTGGTGTACCTCATGGATGGGTTTTTTAAGACTGCTGTGACAGTGATCTAAGTTACCTCCTCAGTTAAAAAGGAACCTCTGAAAGATTAAGATTCAGAAAAGTTAAAATATGTGCTATGGGTGCTATAGCCCCACAAGAAAAAATTCAGAATATATTAAAGGTGGTATTATTTTTGAATGGTAAAATGCACACACAAGTTATTTTTTTGCATTTCCTAAATGCTAGCAACAAACATTCTTCTGTAATCATCTTATGAATGACTCATAAATTGCTATAAATTRCTTTGTATTTCTTATATAAATGTGTATTTAATAGTGTGTGTGTGAACACAGTTGCAATTCTTAGTAAACTACTGTGTGAACAATTAAAATGATTACAGGAAGGAACTCTTAACATTGGCATTAAAAGATTGACTTATATCTAAAAGTCGAAGTTAAAAATGTATTATTATTAAAAATTATTAGATCATGTAGTTCAGATTTTTTCTTAAGGCCTTCAATTTTCAAGATTGCTACTTTCAAGGTTGCTACTTTACAAAGACTGTGCACTTTAAATAATATAATAGAGAATTAAAAGGTAGGATATAAGTGCCAAAATATCAGCAATTTTTAATGGATATGAAAGATTTTTTTCAGCTTTATCTGTTATTCCTTTTTTCTTTCCCACTGTAAAATCCTGTGATTTCTACTTATGTGCTGCTTATTTTATTTTATAAGTGGAGTACATGTTTATTTTGGACTCAGTTTCAGAAGTTCAGTCCATGACCATTTAATTCCATAGGGCATGGCCCAAAGCAAGGCAGAAATGTCATGGCAGAAGGACAAAGTTGGGGAGTTGCCACTCATAATATGTGCTACTTATTTTTGAAAACCACAAATAATATATTTCTTGATATGATTCATGTTTTCGGTAGACTACCATATTCTTGACAGAAGTATTTTGTTTTTCTCTTTTAAGCTACTTGATAAGGAAAATATCTAAATGTCCTATATAATTCAGCCTTCAGAATGGGCTGTGTTTGGCATCAGCTCTATCAGCAAATGTTTGTCTTTGTGCAGAGAAGTTTAAAGCTATTTAGAATTGACTCACCTAGGCATGTGGAAGAAATAAGTCTAATAAATTTTGTCTTATTTAGTCAGGGTAACATGGTCAACCTCAGAAGTAAAACTATATGAAAATAAGTGGAGTATACTTCATGGAATAAATATTAATTTTTCTTATTGACATTTTTTTTTTCAAACTGAACAGCAGCTTTTTCTATTAAGTGACTCTAATATTTATATGATTTCTATTAAACAAGAACTCATAAACTCTGATTTAATGCCATGAGGTTATATAATATCAGTATCATCCATAGTGATACTGCCTATTATGGGAGCACCTGCTTAAATGAATTAAAGTAAAATACCCAGTTTCTAAGTTACATGAGCTACATTTCAAATATTTTTAAAATTAATTATTTATTTCAATTAGGTCTATATGACAGCAGAATGCATTTTGATTCATGGTACTGCAGCACAACTTTTCATTTCTCTGGTTGTACAAGATGTAGCGTCACACCATATGTGCAGTTATACATTTACSTATGGTAATGATGTCCATCTCATTCTACCATCTTTCCTGCCCCCGTGGCCCCTCCCTACCCCTCCCTCCCCTTCACCCCATCAAAGTTCCGTCATTTTTCCCATACACATGTGTTCCCCCCACTCCCCATTATGGATCAGCATCCACTTATCAGAGAGAACATTAACCTTTGGTTTTGGGGGATTGGATTACTTCACTTGGCATGATATTCTCCAACTCTATCCATTTACCTGCAAATTCGCCGTTTCTTTATCCATTCATCTATTGAGAGGCATCTAGGTTGCTTCCACAGTTTAGTTATTATGAATTGTGCTGCTATGAACATTGATGTGGCTGTTTACTGTAGTATGCTGATTTTAAGTCCTTTTGGATAGACCAAGGAGTGGGATAGCAGGGTCAAATGGTGGTTCCATTTCAAGTTTTCTAAGGAATCTCCATACTGCTTTCCAGACTGCACCAATTTGCAGTCCCACCAGCAATGTATGAATGTGTCTTTCCCCCCACATCCTCGCCAACACCTATTGTGGTCTGTATTCTTGATAACTGTCATTCTGACTGGTGTAGGATGAAATCTTAGAGTAGTTTCGATTTGTATTTCTCTAGTTACTAGAGATTTTGAACGTTTTTTCATATATTTGTTGATCGAATGTATATCTTCTGAGAAATGTCTGTTCAGATCCTTAGCCCATTTATTGATTGGGTTGTTTGTTTTTTTGGTGTTAAATATTTTGAGTTCTTTATATGTCCTGGAGATTAGTGCTCTATCTGACATGTGTGTGGCAAAAATTTGCTCCCAAAATGTAGGCTCTCTCTTCACTTCATTGATTGTTTCTTTTGCTGAGAAGAAGCTTTTCAGTTTGTATCCATCCCATTTATTCATTCTTGATTTTATTTCTTGCACTTTAGGAGTCTTGTTTAGGAAGTCGGGGCCTAATCCAACATGTTGAAGATTCAGGCTTACTTTTTCCTCTATTAGGCACAAGGTCTCTGATCTAATTCCTAGGTCCTTGATCCACTTTAAGTTGAGTTTTGTGCATGGTGAGAGATAGGGGTTTAATTTCATTTAGGTGCATATGGCTTTCCAGTTTTCCCAGCCCATTTGCTGAAAAGGCTATCTTTTTTACAATGTATGTTTTTGGTGTCTTTGTCTAGTAGGAGATGAATGTATTTATGTGGGTTTATCTCTGTGTCTTCTGTTCTGTACCGTTGGTCTACATACTTCTTTTGGTGCCAATACCATGCTCTTTTGTTAATATAGCTTTGTAGTATAGTTTAAGGTCTGGTATTATGATGCATCTTGCTTCACTCTTCTTGATAAGGATTGCTTTGGATATTCTGGGTCTCTTATTTTTTCAAAAGAATTTCATGATTGTTTTTTCTGTCTCTATAAGGAATGATGATGGGATTTTAATTGGAATCACATTGAACCTGTATAGTGCTTTGGGTAGTATGGCCATTTTGACAGTATTAATTTTGCCTGTCCAAGAGCATGGGAGATCTTTCCATCTTTGAAGGTCTGCTTCAATTTCTTTCTTTAGTGTTCTGTAGTTTTCATTGTAGAAGTCTTTCACCTCTTTTGTTAAATTGATTCCCAAGGTTTTTTGTTGTTGTTTTGTTTTTTTGAGGCTATTGTGAATGGGGTAGTTTTCCTACTTTCTCTAGAGGATTCATCACTGCTGTATAGAAATGCAATTAATTTATGGGTATTGATTTTTATATCCTGATACTTTGCTGAATTCATTAATTATTTATAAAAGTTTTCTGGTAGGGATTTTTGGATCCTCTATATGGTCAGCAAATAATGATAGTTTTGAGTTCTTCTTTTCCTATTTGTATCCCTGTAATTTCTTTCATCTAATTGCTCTGGCTAGAGATTTAAGGACTATGTTGAATAGAAGTGGTGAAAGAGGGCATCTCTCTCGAGGGCATCTCTCTCTTGTTCCAGTTTTTAGAGGTAATGCTTCCAATTTTTTGCCATTTAGATTGATGTTGCCACATGTGATTGATTAGTCACATGTGACCATTGTCTGGTGGACAATGCAGACAAAAAGCATTTATATCACGGTAGAAAGTTTTTTTGGGACAGTCTAGCTTGGTGCTTTCTGTAAGAAGATCATGGATGATAGAAGAAACCGGGTAATCTTTTGTGGGGGTCATTCACTTTTAAGTTTCACTCTAAATCCCAGCCTTCTGCTTCCCCCCAAATTTCTGAGGTTTTCTTGAAGTTTTTTTGAAGCTATTTGATATTCTTCCAGGCTCTAAAAACTGTATTTTAAAAGATCACACTGGGTGGGAAGCACTTGTGGAAGGGTGGAGTTGTGTGTGCATGATGCTCTTACAGTTGTACACTATTTCCATAGGGCAAGATGGAGACAAATATTGTGTGCTGAATAGATTTTTCAGTTGTGTGCTTACATCAGGTCATACTGTTATCAGGAACTATAAATATTTCTGGCACTCATAAGGTTTTTTTTTTTTTTTTTTTTTTTTTGAGGACTCCAGGTGTGGTGTGGTGGTGTGATAGTTTAACCTGTGGTGCTTTGGCTTGTTCCTGTTATCCTTGGGTGCTTGGCAGTGTCAGTCACTGCCATTCTCGATTGAGTTTAGGTTAACAGTGATGGTAATTATGAATGTAAATTCTAGGCTCCCGTCTTTCCAGTTTCCTCAAAGGATTCTTGGGTAGATTACTATCCGTCAGATGTTGGCATAATACCTACCTGAGCAGGAACAGATCTGTGAGGAAGCTCTGGGAGGCTGTTCTCTCACTGCTGTCACAATTATTCATTTCATATTTGCTGAAAATAGGGTGTGTGTGAACTTGCCATGATACTCTTCCCTGCTATTCCATCTCCCTGATAGTGTTGACTGAGCAAATACTTTACAAAAGCACAAATACTTTATTCCTTACCTCAATGAGTTTATTACCCAACAAAGATGATCACTGCAAGCATATATGTTCCTAGTTCCCTCAGAGTATAAGATAATTGGTGCTATATGTTACAGAGGTGGTTTAGACAATGAAAGTTCTATAGCAAGGAAGCAGGAACATTTTTGAAAATAAGAGAATGATCAAGAGGGAGAAATGGTGGTTCAAGGACAAGAAGTCTTGAATGCCAGCCTAAGGCTTTTGAAAATTCTTCTCCATAGAGTGTGTGGGTTTTAAAGGTACAGTCTGACTCAGTGGGTAATTTTAGGAAGATGAGAATTGATTTAATGTACAGTCAAGAGAAAGTCTTAATAGTCTGAATTAAGATCTCTGTCCATCTATTACAAGGTTGCCAAAGCTTGAACTAGAGTGAGAACAAAGGATAGGGAAAGGAAAGGAGAGCAGAGGAGGCCTTACCAGGATTTGGTGGCTAATTTGGCTAGTTTTGCAAAATGGGGAAGCTGGTTTCAATTGAAATCTGTGTCAGGTGGAAAAGCAGGCAGATAGAACAAGGAGGTGCAGTGTGGAATAGGAGTTATTGATTTAGAGAAACTGCTCACGCACAGGTGGGTATGTATGTTATCATCCAGATAACAACAGCAGGGTCTCTGTTTTAACAAGCAGAGCAAGTTTGTCAAATGGAAGGGGATGTCTCACTGCAGCACAGGAGTAGGAAGTACATGGTCAGAAAGTTAGAATGGGTCCTAGAGAAAGTTCCCAATATTTTAATATTCTTAAGAGATGGAGAAACAAGGGAACTGGGTACAGCTGTGTCTTGATGCCTGTGGAGAAGGATCTTAAGAAAAGTTTAAACTGAGCATAGATGCAGACTCATAAGCTGATAAGGAGTTGAGGGAACCTGTATCTATATAAAACTCATCCCAGAAGGTTGCCAGTGAAGATAAAGAAAGCATGAAGACACCATGCTGTTAGGTGAAGGATTGTTTAAGTATCTCATGTGGCCAGTTAGATATAGATCTGTAAAGCCACAGAGATAGTGAGCTCCTACCATTAGTGAGGAATTAAAGAACTGGAAGTGGATGAGCTATGAAAGAAATTGAGTGGGTGAGGCTCCCCTGTTCTTCCCCTTATATCCTTTCTCAGATCCAAGTATGTCCCTATTACTCCTATACAGTGATGGAAGTTTGGTTGCTATTATAGGCATATCTTTTTCTTGATGAATTAAGGAAGCTGTCTTGTTTTCCAAGTAGGTAATATTACCGTTTCCTTATAATCCGGCTCTTTGCTAAGCACAGCATAAAATTTAGGCTTTTCTGTGTCCATGAAACAGGAGTGAATTTGCTTGTGGGCACAGAGAGTGGCCTGATGCTGCTGGACAGAAGTGGCCAAGGGAAGGTATATCCTCTGATCAATCGAAGACGGTTTCAGCAAATGGATGTACTCGAGGGCTTAAATGTCTTGGTGACAATTTCTGGTAAGTCTGTTTAGTAAGGCAGAATCTAAGACGCTATTTACATTTTAACGTTCTAAATCTTAGCACATTTCCTGATGTACTGATTAAAAGAGATATAACTCTATTGCAGATTTACAATAATATGAGAGGAAGATGTACACAGCTTTGACACACCTATTTTCCCCCATTAACATATTTTATTAGTGTGGTACATTTGTACACTTTATTATGTAATAATAATTCATTAGTATTAACTAAATATATAGTTTATATTAGGAAAAACATTTTGTGTGGTTTATTTTTTAGTGGTTTTGACAAACATATGATGACATGTGTATTAGTCAGTTTTGCATTGCTGTGACCAAAATACCTTACAAGAACAACTTAGAGGGCAGGTTCAGGCATGAATTTCAGAGCTTTTTAGTCCATGGTCACCCTACTCTGTTGTTCTGGGTCCGAGGTGAGGCAGAACATTGTAGTAGAAGGGAGTGGCAGAGGAAAGCTATTCAGCTCATGGCTGTGGCGGACCAGAGGGAAAGACAGAGATAAGATACATTCTAAGGCTATACCCCCAGTAATCTACTTTAGTCACACTCTGCCTGCTGCTATTACCACTCAGTAGTCCATTCATGTTATGAATCCATGTAATGAATTAATCTACTGATCAGATTATAGGTGTCATAATCTAATCATTTCATCTCTGAACATTCTTAAATTACCTAACACAAATTTTGGGGGTAAAATATCCCAACCAAAACAACCCATATCTGGTATTATTGTACCCTTTAGACTAGTTTAAGTTCCTTAAAACCCCTCATTCATCCTTCCTCTTGAGGCCTTGGCCATAAGTGATCTATTGTTATCATGGCTTTTTCTTTTTAAGGATGACATATAATTATAATCATGTAGTATGTAGGTGTGTATAACTTGATAACTTCACTTATTAAAAGATATTTTGGTTGCTTCCAGGCTTTGGCAATTATGTATAAAATTGCCGTATAAATATTTGTGTGCAACTCTTTGCATGGACATAAGCTTTCACCTTATATGTTTTGTAAACACAAGTGCAACTAACTAGGACACATGGAAAGACTATATTTAGCTTTGTAAGAAACTACCAGGCTGCCTTCCAAAGCAGCTGTATCATTTTTGCATCCCACAGGCAATGAATGAGAGTTTCTCTTGCTCCACATTCCCTTCAGAATTCAGCATTGTCAGTATTTTAGATTTTAGAGGTACTGAGAGGATAGCACTACAAGTGTTATCTTGTTTTAATTTGTGGTTTCCTAGTAATATACAGTGTTGAACTTCTTTAGGCCACTTGGTAACTGGGATGCTTGTTTTCCTATTATTGAGTTTGAAGAATTCTTAGAATAATTTGGATAGAAGTTTTTTTTTTCATATTTTTTCTTTATTGATACATTATAGTGTACATAATGGTGAGGTTTGTCATGTTATACATGCACACAGTATAACCATATAATTTGGCCAATATCATTCCCCAGTGGAAAGAAATCTTTATCAAATAAGTGTTTTTGAAATATTTTCTTCCTGCCTGTAGCTTATCTGCACATTCTCTTGAGCATTGTCCTTTGCAGATGTTTTAAATTTTAATGAAGCCCAACTTATAATTTTTTTCTTTGATGTATTGTGCTTTTGGTGTTTTATCTAAAATTATCGTCGAATCCAAGGTTTTTTAAAAAAGACTTTGCTTTCTCCATTGAATGTCTTTGTTCCTTCATTAAAGATTTGTTCACAGTGATTGTGTGGGTCTGTTTGAGGATATCCATTTTGTTCCAGGTGATCTCTTTGTTGTCAGCCTCATTGTCTTGATTCCTATAGATGTGCAGTATGAGTCAGGAATTGTCTACACTTAAAAAAAAAAAAAAAACATTATGTTGACTGCATTGTCTCTCCATTTAAATTTTAGAGTCAGTTTAACAGAATAACTTGCTGTGATTTTCATTAGAATTGCATTAAATCTGTAGGTGAGGTTGGGAAGAACTGACAGCTTGATAATGTTGGGTCTTCCTATTCATGAACATGGAATCTCTCTCCATTTATTTGATTCCTTGAAACTTTTTATCAGAATTTTATTGTTTTCCTCAAATAGATCTCAAAAAGGTCTATTTTATTAGATTTATACCTGTTTCATTTTGGTACTAATGTAAATGACGTTTTTAATTTCAAATTATACTTGTTGCTAGTATGTAGAGAAATAATTGACTTTTGTGTAATAAGCTTGTATCCTGCAACTTCACTATAATTGTTTGATAGTTTGAGGAATTTTTTGTTTGTGGGTTGTTTGTTTTGTTTTGATTTTTGCTGATTCTTTGGTATTTTTTTACTTATAAACAAACATAGTAATTTTATTTCTTCCTTCTCAATTCTTATTTATTTCTCTTGTTTTTGGACTTACGACATTAGGTTGGATACCCAATATTATGTCTAGTAAGAAATGTGAGAGGAGTCCTCCTTCCCATATTTCTAAGTATCAGAGGGGAATCATCTAGTTTCTAACCATTAAGACTGATGTGCTTTATCAAACTGAGGCAGTTCCCTTCTGTATTCCCTAGAGTTTTTTCCAATGAGTATGTTTTGATTTTGTTTGATATGATAGCTCCTGTTTTTTCCTCTAGTCTGTTTGCAGTGTGTAGCTGCCCTTGCTTATCATCAATTTTTGTTGCTTGTAGCCATAGTTGGTTCCCCTTTGTCCCTATATGTGACTGTGCCACAGTTTATTTACTCATTTTGCCATTGGTAGAAAGATGTATGTTGTTTCCTCTCTGGAGGCTCTTGTGCACACATTTGTTGATGTATTGGGATATTCAGAAACCTCATTATTTTGAGAAGAGACGGCATTGTACTTCAGGTAGGGCATGCATATATTTTAGATTAATAGATAATGCCCAACTCTTCAGAATTACTCAGCAGTAGTTKATGAAGTTTCTAGTTGCTCCACACTTTGCCTGACCTTTTAATTCTAGACATTCTGATACATGTTTTAAAATTTTATTTCATGGTTTTAATGTACTTTCAGCTATTAACCGCAAGCACCTTTGTGAAGTATATGAGCCTATTCTAGTTCTTGCCTGGTTTTTCTATATGGTTATCTCGATATTTGATTTATAGGAGTTTATTACATAATCTAGATATCAGCTATTCAAGTGGTTTGAATCTTCCCCCAGTTGCATGGGGGATTGATTTAATCCCTGTGCTTATCTGTCAAATTGAAAAAACAACTACTTTAGAGAGTTTTGAGGGACAGATGGTGTAATACATGTGAAAGCATATTATAAGCTTTATTGGTTGTGTTGTTGTACAGGTGTGAGGAGAAGCAAGCAAGCAGTTACTTCAGCAGGTCACACCAACTGAGTGTTCCCTAATTCAGTTCATTTCTGAAAGTATCTACTGGAGGTGGCATCACATTGCACACAGATTGAAGGCTCATTTGTACAAGACCCTCTATCCTATATTTCCTTTAGACACCAGTTACACATCCAGGACCCAAGAACTTGTTATAAACTGGGCTTCCAACAACCCGCTCCTTGGGTTTGATTGATTTTTATGGCAAACAGAACGCAGAGAAAGATGTTTGCTGTATATTACAAAGGATACAGATGCAGAAATGCATAGTGTGAGGTAAAAAAGAAAGGTCACAAGACTTCCGGGCACTTTTTTATGAAACGTGTGGCTCCTTTTTGGTATTTGTTTAAGCATACCATTTCTCAGGAATCTCCAGTGTGTTCAGCTATCTAGAAGTTCATCTGAGCTCTGTGCTTTTAAAGAACCTTTATTACATAGGCATGATTGACTAAATCATTGGACAGTGAAGATGAACTTAACCTTCACCCACTCTTCCTTCCCTGGATGGTGGGGGTAGGGCTAAAAGTCCCAACTTCTAATTCTGCAGTGGTCTTCCTGATGGCCATCCCGATTCTGAAGCTACCCAGGGGCTGCCAGCCTCTAGCCAGTTATCAACACCCAAATAGACACATTGTCACTTTGAAGATTCTAAGGAATTTGCCAGGAAACAGGGACAGTATGTATTTCACAATGTCACAGTATTCCTACTGGTTTGATGGTAACTATCCATCTATATAAGTGTGAGTTCATTATTTTTAAACCTTTCCTTTTAGCCATGCCTATACCCATTGATAATTATGTAGGAGGTTCAAAAGCCCACCTGAAGAGCTTTTAAATTGAATCTCTGGTTACACTTAGATGCAAAATAATCTCTTGGAAATGATATTTGGTATTCATAGAAGTTTCTTTCATTTGCTATTGTTATTGATAATACCTGTTTATTTTGCTAGGCAAAAAGGATAAATTACGTGTCTACTATTTGTCCTGGTTAAGAAATAAAATACTTCACAATGATCCCGAAGTTGAAAAGAAGCAAGGGTGGACAACCGTAGGTGATTTGGAAGGATGTGTACATTATAAAGTTGGTAAGTTCCAGTGGGGGCCTAAGTGTTTTGCTTTTCCAGAGATGAATTAGGGTTAAGTTTATAATTAGGGTTTAAGTTTATATTCATGTATTCTTTGAAACTTGCTTCTGAAACGTGTGGCTCCTTTCTGATATTCTGTTTTGAAGGCTTCTTCTAATTTTGAATTCTTATTTAGACATCGTATTACTGCCACATGTACCTATGAGCTTAACAGTTTGTTCCCTCCGCTTGCTCTTTCCTTAGTCTCCCCTCGCCCAACCAAGATGTGAAAGTAATTTCTTTAAGGAAGCCTTGCCAAATGAAAGCCAGTTGACATGGAGTCCTTCTTATATATCAACTCATTCTTCATTTAGAGGACTGTGAGTCCTTGACATCAATGATAGAACACTTGGGTGATCCATATAGAGTCGTGGCTTATTGTTTTTAATTAAGTGCACTGCACAACGCTGCCATGCTCGTAACTAGCAAACGCTTCTAGTTGGCCAGTCCATGTTTCATGGGAACTGATTGTTGTCCCCACTCCTGTCCCTTTTGGTATGTAGGCATTGATTTTTATGAAGTGAAATCTTTTTTGTTTKTTTGTTTTTTCTCCCATATTTTTTATTAGTATATTATCGTTGTACATACTAATATGTTGTTACATATTTGTACATGCACACATAATAACAATATAATTTGGCCAATATCACTCCCCAGCACTTTCCCCCTCCCTTCCTCCCCTGTTTCTTTCCTCTACTCTAATGTTATCAACTTGATTTGGAATTTCATTTTCACCATTAAAAAAAAAAAAAAGATGACGATGATACAAGGAAGAACCATTAAATGATTATGTGAGTGAAAAATACATCCAAGGAGAAGGCATTGGTGTTAAAAGGAAAAGAATAGAATAAAGGATCTAGTATATATATAAAAACATTACATGATAAAGACCAGTCACACATCATATGCAAATGTCTTATTGGCTCTGTAGAGAAAGATGCCTAGATAGGTCTGATTAGACAAGGTATCAAGAGAGTCTGCCTGTCCTATTGAGCTTTTATTATTTATTTATTTATTTTTCTTTAGAATTTTTAAAATAATTTTTAATTTGTTTTAATTAGTTACACATGACAGCACAATGATCTTGACATACCATACATTGAATCAGATGGGATATAATTTCTCATTTTTCTGAGTGTACAGGTTGCAGAATCACATTGGTCATGCAGTCACTATATATACACACAGCAATAATAATAATCTGTTTTATTCTGCTGTCCTTCCTTTCCCCCCTTCCCCTCCCCTCCCTAATCTAATATGACACAATGAAATGAAATCTTACAGGAACAAAACCAAAGTCATTATTACATATGAAAAGGGGAAATAATGGACCTTATAATATAACTTAATATAATATAATAATATCAGGCATATTATGATACTTGACACTGCAAAGTTTCTGCAGTCTATCTAATAAAACACCCAGCTCATTGGTTAATAATGATTCAGAGATACGGAGATAGTATTATTTCTTTGGTGTAGATTTGAGGACGAGAGTTCTCTGTATTGTGTTTTTATGATATACTTTATTTGTTGAGGTATAACTAAAGGTTAAATTTAATGAACTTCTCATAACAGCTCAATTAAACATGAATAGATTATCCTCCAGGGGAGCTAGAGGCAATAGTGTTATATTATACTGGGATTTTCATCAGAACAAAACAATAGTCTTAAAGCCTGATATTCTTACAGAATGAATCACAGATATTTTCTGGAGATAAGTATTACTAACACCATTCATTCATTAACTTGAATATAGTTGCCACCAAGAACAGGGGGCTGTTTTAGAATAACAATCTGCATGGTACTGGCCTAAAAACAAATAGCTGAATAGCACAGAATAGAAGACACAGAGACAAGCCCACGCATCTTTGTTGATCCTCAACGAAGGTGCCAAAAACATACACTGGAGAAAAGAATCTCTTTAAGACAAATTGTAATGGAAAAATTGGTTAACCCTATATGGAAGAATGAAATTAGAATCTTATTTCTCACTCTGCACAAAAATCCACTCAAAATGGATTAAAGGCCTAGGAATTAGACCAGAAAATATAAGGTCAGCACTCCAGTCTTTAGGTACAGATRATGACTTTCTCAATAGGACTGCTGAAACTCGAGAAATAATGCCAAGAGAGTTAATAAATGGAATGACGTCAAATTAAAAGGCTTCTGCATAACAAAGGAAACAACTAGCAATTTGGAGAGAGAACCTATGGAATGGGAGAAAAATCTTTTCTAGCTACTCTTCTGACAGAGGATTAATATATAGAATATATAAAAAAAAACACTCCAAAAACATCACACCAAAAAAACAAATAGCCCAATTAATAAATGGGCAAATGAACTAAACAGATACTTTTCAAAAGAAGAAATATAGATGGTCAACAAATAATATGAAAAAATGTTCAACATCATTAGTAATTAGGGAAAAACATATAAAAACTACACTAAGGTTTTATCTCTTACGAGTCAAAATGGCAGTCATCAAGAATACAAACAATAGGGGCTGGGGATGTGGCTCAGCGGTAGCGCGCTCGCCTGGCATGCGTGCGGCCCGGGTTCGATCCTCAGCACCACATACCAACAAAAATGTTGTGTCTGCCGAGAACTAAAAAATAAATAAAAAAAAAAAAAAAAAGAATACAAACAATAATAAATGGTGGAGGGGATGTGGAGACCAAGGAGCATTTACACTGTTGTTAAGACCATAAATCAGTAGAACCACTATGGAAATTGGTATGGCGCTTCCTCAGAAAACTATGCATGAAATTACCATATGATCCAGCTATATATCACTCCTCAGTATTTGTCTTGAAAATTAAAAGTCATTATAGTACAGTGATACATGCATACTTATGTTCATAGCAGCACAATTCACAACAGCCAAACTATGGAACCAGCCCAGGTGTCCATCAGCTGATGAAAGGATAAAGAAAATGTGGTATATAGACATAATGGAGTTTGTGTAGCCATAAATAAAATGAAATTATGTCATTCAGGGCAATGGATGGGTATGGAGACCATTATGATAAGCAAAATAAGCCAAACTCAGAAAGTGAAGAGTTGAATGTTTTCTTTCGTATGTGGAAGTTAGAGACAAAAAGGAAGCCAGGCTTGGTGGTAATCCCAGCATCTCAGAAGGCTGAAGCAGAAGATCACAGGTTTGAAGACGACCTCAGCAACTTAATGAGACCATGATTCAAAATAAAAGGGCTGGAGATGTGTCTCAGTGATTAAGCACCCTTGGATTCCATTCTTGGTACCCCACACCCACACTCCCACTACCCTCCATAAAAAAGAGGAAAAAGGAAAAGAAAGGTGGGAGGAGTGGGGAGCTCATGAAAATCAAAGGGAGATTAGTAGAGGAAAGGAACAAAGTGGGGAAGAGGGAGGGGGGAAATTCTGGGCAGTGATTTTGGATAAATGATATTGTGTGCATGTACCAATATGTAACATCAGATCCCATCACTATAATGCACCAATAAAAAATGTGGAAAGAGAAAAAAAGGAACAGTTTATTTCGATTAATTTTAAAGTTTATTTAGATTAATTAAAATTAAGTCAACCTTGAAATTTAATTCCTCTGTTATCCTAGTACGTCCTAATTGCCTAATAGACATTATTTGGCTAGTATCTGTCTGCCATTGGTAGTACAGACAAAGYATTTCCAACATTTCAGAAGATGCTTTTAAACAGGACTGGTTTGGATAATCTCTTATAATCCTTTTGTCCTAAAGTTAATGACTTAACTCAGGTGATCATACATGGAGTTTAATAAAGAAAAGGTATCAATTCAACAAGCACCCCTTCATGCACAAAGAATCACATAATAGTTTGATGTAAAGTAGCTTATATAGAAGCCACCAGTGTATCTGAATCAGAGTAGTAAATCGTGTATAGTCTTGGACCTATGTGAAGGAACCAAAGCAACTATGGAAAGGTTGCAGGTTTTCTTTGGGGTTGAAAAGAGATGCATTTTGCCACTTCTTTTCTGGTGTAGAACTTGGTAGAATTCTAGAAATAATTATCACTGTAGATGAGGAAATGACCTGGAGTGATAAGTTCATCTTGTGCACAGATTCTTCTATTAATAGAATTCACGAGTCGGAAGTATTTTGGTTTAACTTCTTGTTCCTCAGTCTGTGGGAGCCCACGTGGAACTTGGGGAAAGCAGCATGGAAGACTTGACCTCTTTTTATGTGATTCTGGAGCCTCTAGACTGATTAACTGTCATTATCCTTATGAAGCAATGCTAAGCCTTAAGGACTTAGATCCTATGCCTGGCATTGTCCTTGATAATACAATATTTGGACTCTATGAAGACTAGGAACATTAGTGAAAACATTCACTAATAGTATCCAAACTATTGGAATTGAATCCAATACAACATTTAAAGAAAGGTGGGAAAACATGGATTATACATTAAAGAATTTGATGTCTATTTGAATTTGCCCCTTTCCTGGTTTGGATGAATCAATGGAATACATATTTATAAAGTTTGTAGAAGTTAGAGTTCTATGTTGATACTGATAATGTGCCTCTTTTTTTATATATATATTTGTTTTTCAGTAAAATATGAAAGGATCAAATTTCTTGTAATAGCTTTGAAGAGTTCTGTGGAAGTCTATGCGTGGGCCCCTAAGCCATATCACAAATTCATGGCCTTTAAGGTAATATCATCAAGTACATTTAAAAATAGCACCAGCCATCTAAGCTGCAACCAAGAGCCAGGGATCAGTTTTAAAAATCTGAGCAGTTAAAATTAGCACTATAAAGCTGTGTGCTAATAGACAGCCATAAGAGAGGCCATTTCTAATGTAATGTAATAAGCTTAGTCAACTGTTTTCTAAGCCCTCAGTAACTGATGTGTTAGTACAGTAACAGGAAAAGACAAAACACCTCTTCCACCCTCCATTAAAGACATGGATGCATATAAAGATCAAGCAGTTCTAAAGCATAGCTGTTCACCAGAGTATTAATTAAAATTATTAATATTGTGTATTATGCATTAAGTGGGAAAAAATTAAAAATATGTATAATATGGCTCTGTTTTACTTAAATTCTAAAAATGCAGTTAAACATCCGAACTTTAAAATAAGATGTAATTTGCCATTTTACAAGTACTGTTTCAGGAAGGTAAATGAATGAACACTATGTTTTACAATTAGGACTGTTTCCACTTGTGAGTTCACACATACTGTCATGTAACTAACTGATCACAGATATACCTCTGGTGGTTATATTTGTTTGTTTTTGAGGTGTGGATTTGAACCTAGTGCCTCACACATGCTAGACAAGACCTTTATCATTGAGCTATACTACCAGCCCTGGTGGTTAGGTTTCTAAGGTATGAATAAATTTTTAGTGGACTACAGTCTTTATTTAAATTAAAGTTTTTTTAGAAATAATCTATGGAAGATTAGCAATCATTTTTTATTTGTATTCTTAATAATTCTTTCATAACTTAGTTTATACTAAATATAAATGTATGAATAAGAATGCTGTCTTGGACCATTTTAGCACAGGTCAAGAAATTAAGAAATTTTCGACCCAAATAATTATATTAAAATAGTTTTGATATATTTTATTGGAGGGGTAAATTTTAGTTATTTGGAAATTTTATATTTTTGATTGCTTGTTGCGTGATTACCTAATGAAGCAGGATAAATGAGGCTATTATGTTGGTTTAATAAATAAATTCTAGTGTTATTGAATAAAGATAACCCATTATGAAATGACATCAGTTTCTGTGATCTGGTCTTTATACTAGTTGCTTTTACAAATATTACCTTTTTGTATCTGTTTCATCTTCATCCCAGTCCTGTGAGCTGTTAGTGCTAATGTTAATGAAGAGCTAAAGCCGGGCACTACATACATGCTGTGCAGTAGTACATCATAGTGCTGTCACCCTATCAGTCTTAGTCATAAAATTTCAGCAGGAGTCTTTATAGTGCACATATTGGTAAGGGTGACAGCATTGGTCAGATTCTCAGCRTATGATTCTCTACAGCTCCTCTCCTCACCACCCGCATTTGAGTAGAGCTATTATGCTGCAGAAAGTCCTGTTTCACTTTACATGTTTTTCTTATCAAGACTAGAAGATAGAAAGTGACAGTGCAGAATGCTTGGACTGGGTAGGAGAGATTGAGGACATAATTTCCCAGATGGAAAACTATGTTGTTGCCTCACTACCTGGACTGAGTACCTTGGTTCCTGCTTCTCTAGTGTCATCTGAGAGGTATAAGTTCTATTTCACCTTACTGTTTCTTTCTTGGTTATTTCTTTGTAGTCATTTGGAGAATTGGTACATAAGCCATTACTAGTGGATCTCACTGTTGAGGAAGGCCAGAGGTTGAAAGTGATCTATGGATCCAGTGCTGGATTCCATGCTGTTGATGTGGATTCAGGATCAGTCTATGACATTTATCTACCAACACATGTAAGAAAGAACCCACACTCTATGGTTGGTTGACTGGCTTCATTTTGTTTTGACTTTTTCCTTTTACTCTGCTTAGTGAACTAACACAGCAGGGTTTCCTCATTTCCCCTTGATGTGGGGGTGAGTATTTAAGTTATATACCATTTTTCTTAGCTCCATGCTCTGAGAAAAGTGGAAATATCCTTTTCTGGCTCTCTGAAGCCCTGCTGAAAACTTCTCAGCCCTTGCTTTGACTAACATGGGGTGAATTTGGGTGATTGCTGGCAGACCAGAACACTTATGGGATGGGTGAGGTTCTCAAGTGGAGCCTACTACTCAAATGAGTTTCAGGGGCCTGAGGAAATGTGTCAGTGGAGTCTATGACCTGTAAACAGTAGACTTGGGATACATGTCAAATGGATTTTCCAGAATGTTACCTCTTTGCTATATATGTCACCAGGGATATGGTACCAGTGCACTCACTAGGCAGTCTTATTGACCACTTTGACAGTGCTGGAAATAGCTACACACATGCTTCCCTGTGCTCTATTCCTCTTCTCTAGATCCAGTGTAGCATCAAACCCCATGCAATTATTATCCTCCCTAACACGGATGGGATGGAGCTTCTGGTGTGCTATGAAGATGAGGGGGTTTATGTGAACACATATGGAAGGATCACCAAGGATGTGGTTCTGCAGTGGGGAGAGATGCCAACATCTGTAGGTACGTAGCACCTGGGATTGGGAGCATTTATGAAAGTGGAGTCTTTTCTAAGACTGCATCTGTTTCTCATACTAATTTTGCATTTAGTGGAGTTGTTGGCAATAGGAGTGAAAGAGTGAAAAGTTAGATTGTAAACCATGGAAATAGGATAATCATAGATCTATTTTAGAACAAACTCCCAAGTAATTTGTATGGTGGGGGGGATAAGGTACTGGGGATTTTACCTAGGCACACTAGGCTAGGCAAGCACTGTGCCTCTGAACTATACCTCCAGCCCAGCTCATACATACTGTTTAAAAACTGTTACCACAGTCTCTCATTTAATCCTTGAGACTTCCAGAGAAAATCAGCATGTGTTTTTTGTTTTGTTTTAACTGCTTTGTGGGAAGTATATAGAGAGAGTAAACTTACTCTTGAGTAGCTCTGCCATAACTAGAAGCACTGTTGGCACTCAGGAACAGAGGCTGGTATGGAAGTTTTAGTAGCTTTGTGTTTATACTCCAGACTGTCCTGGTTTTGTTGCAATGAAGTCCCTATATCTGTCTACTCAAAGTTTCTGACCCTTACCTTCTCTCATGACTGGAATGATAAAAACATGCACTAAAGCTCTGCATTTGGTGGGCCATTTCTGAAGATAAGCATCAGGGAAATTAGTTCAGCAGAGGTAGACTAGCGGTTACAGAATCCTTAAAAACAAAATCCTCAAATACTAGGGCTTTAGGGGTATGTTTGTGTGTGTGTACATACGTGTACATATATATCACATAAGGTTGTTTTCTTACCTTTAACAATTTGTATTTTCCCCTCCCTGAAAGCATATATTCGGTCCAATCAGACAATGGGCTGGGGCGAGAAGGCCATAGAGATCCGATCTGTGGAAACTGGTCACTTGGATGGTGTGTTTATGCACAAAAGGGCTCAGAGACTAAAATTCTTATGTGAACGCAATGACAAGGTAATGTTACCTTATGTTATTGGCTTTCTTTCAGTTTGTATTGTTTCTTAGCAATGATGTATTTTCCATGGAGTTTGGTGATGGACTACAATTTTGATAGATTCTGAAGTAAATTAAATTAATTAAAGAAATTTTTCACTGTCATGTTTGGGGTATGTTTGTATGGTTTGGAGTGCTGGAAGGTACTGAAAGGCCTGGTAACTGCACCTTCTCTTTCTTTTGCAGGTGTTCTTTGCCTCTGTTCGGTCTGGTGGCAGCAGTCAGGTTTATTTCATGACATTAGGCAGGACTTCTCTTCTGAGCTGGTAGAAGCAGTGTGATCTGGGGATTGCTGATCTCTAAAGTCTTCAGGATCCTGAGAACTTGGAATTCCTTGCAACTGGAGCTTGGAGCTGCACCGGTGTAGCCAGGACAGTTGTGTGTGCAGGCCTCACGTGTTGGTCCTCTCTCCCTTCCTTCCTACTCCTCTCTTTGACAGTTTATTCCTGTTTTCTTCTTTTCCCCTCTTAAAAATAAATCAAGGCTGCATTGCAGCTGGTGCTGTTCAGATTCTACCATCGGTGCTAGAAGTGTTTGGGGTTGAGCATCAGACTGGAAAGAACCCCTTTCCTACAGCTCCAGAATTCCTTGTCTCTGAATAACTCTGTCCTATGGGTGTCTGAAGGTGGCGACAATGAACACGCCATCAGTTTTGTTGGCAATGGGCACAAGGAGGTGAAAAGTGGTGGTGTAAGGAGCAGTTTGCTGAAGCAGAGAGCAGATTTAATATAGTAACATTAACAATGTATTTAATGACATTTCTTTTTTGTAATGTGACAATATGTGGACAAAGAAGAAGGTGCAGGTCTAAAGTTAATATTTATAAAATGTGAAAGACACAGTTACTAGGATAACTTTTTTTGTGGGTGGGGTTTGGGGTGGGGTGGGTTAAGGGGTCCCATTTTGTTTCTTTGAATTTTGGGGGGGAAGGGTGTCCTGGCCAAGAATTCAGTCGTTTTTCTGTGTACCAAGTTTTGCCTAAATCGTGTGCAAATGGTTCTAAAAAAAAGAAAAAAGAAAAAGAGAACGTGTGCATTTTGTATTAACGGCCAGAACTTTGTTGTGTGACAGTATTAGCACTGCCTCAGTTAAAGGTTTAATTTTTGTTTAAACCTAGAAGTGCAACAACAGTTTTACCAGTCTGCACTTGCAGAAGAAAAAAAAAAAAATTCAACCTACATGTTTATTTTTTTGCCTACCTCATTGTTTTTAATGCATTGAGAGGTGATTTAGTTTGTTTTTGGAGGAAAACATTAATGTTTAATTTAATCTTAATACCAAAACTATCAGATTGAGGTTTGTTATTTTTGTCAGAAATCTAAGCAGATGCAAGAAAAACTGTCCATGATGGTGTGGGAAATAATCCTGTGGCTGATGCAGTTTGCTTTCTAAGCTTAGAAAGCAGAATGCTTTATTTTCATGAGATTCCCCATTAGTGGTTGAAGGGCAGCTGTTGCCTACAACACATGAGATCTCTTTGTTTTCCATTGGGGGTCTGGTAGCAGACAGGTGATCATGTTAGAGTAGTCACACAAACTGTTTAGCGTTTCAGGAACCGTTTCTTGGGGGTGAGGATATGTCCCTTTTCTAAAAATGCGATGCACTAAAACTATTTTAAGAATGTAGTTAATTCTACTTATTCATAAAGATGGCATCTTCCTGTGTTTTAGGTGTAATTTGGAAGCCCTGGCTCTTGTCTTCTCACTTGCTCTCTTGTTCTCTGTTTTTTAAACTAATTTTACTTTATGAATATGTTCGTGACATTTGTAATAAATGTCTTGAGTAATGATTTGTTTCATGGCTTCCTGGTCATCTCTCCATTCCTCTAAGGATGCTCGTGTCTTGGTATAGGAACAGTGCTCAGAGCCATGGCTCTGCTGTCTTGCTTCCTCTGGTGTTCAAGTGGGAATATTGCATGATAGCTGCTCTGTTCTTCATTACTCAGACAGAAGCATGATGTTTGTAGGCTTGATCTTCCTTTCTGGTTTTCTTTTATAACATGAAAATGGGGACTGTTTTCTCTTTCCTCCAAAATGTAACAGTTGCCTGCACCTATTTGCCAAGCCTCTGCCCAGCTTCCGTCCCGTTTGACACTTATTCTAACAGCTCTCATTCTCGTCCTCCTGGTCAGTATTTTTCCCAAAGGCTCTTCTTTAAACCACAAAAATCTGGTTAAAAAGAAAGAAAATACATCTGCTCCCAAACACAGAAGAAGTACCCAGATGTACATACCCATAAAGACTAGATAAGTTGAGAAAGCCTTACTTTCTTAGAAGGACGAGGAGATGGAAATGGTTTTTTCCATGATGTGACTTGTAGTGCTRATGGCCAAAGCAGGAAGAACTGGTCCTTTTCTGTTGGTTAATCTAGTTAACCCAGAGAAGGGTGAAGAATTAATCCCACCAGTGAAAGGAACTTGAAGTAGGCCAGATTCTGTCACCAAAGGACTTCAGTCAGAATCAGATTCCTGATTTGATCTTCTCTCTACATTTAGGCTTTTCATTAGATGGAAGATGCCAAGGTAAACACTCCTATCCAGAGGAGAAGGAATGGTTTAGTTGATTACAGCCCCTTCCTTGGCCTTTAGAGAGCTGTGAAAGATGGGCAGATATCTAAGTGGTATTTGGCACATGATGAAAATGGTATCTCATTGGAATTTGGAGTGTTTAGAACTTTGCCTCAGGAGGGTGTGGGAAGGGGGTCTAACCTCCTGTCAGCACCGCCTGTGCTGCTGGCACAGCCCAGGCACACCCTGGGCACTCTCTTAGTATTTGAGTTGAGCATAGTTAAATCCATTGTCAGCTTGATTTGCTGAAGTAGGACAGCTGTTTGTCTTTGTGGGATGGGTTCCTGGAGTGGGCTTCTTGACCTCATCATCTTGTGAACCAAATTGAGTTGCAACAGTTTAATGCAGAAGCCAGCGAGATTCCTTCATAAAAGATTGTGAGCTATTGAAATCTCAAGATTCTTTTAGAGAAGGAATTATTCCCCTCCCTTCCACAAAAGTGCCAATATGGGGATTTTGCAGAAGCAAACAGTATTCAATTGATATATCAAATGTGGAATGTGGAACTGTTTGGGGAATGCTCTTCGAAACAAGAAAAGCCCAGGTGTGTCCAGGTGTAGCCAGAGCTTCAATAGAACCTTTCTGTAAATCAGAGTAACCCTTTTTGTACTGAGTGCAGTGTTTTTACTTTTTTATCATGCACATTTTATGTTGGAGAAAATGTTTACAAAAATGGTTTTGTTATACTAATGTGCATCACATATTTATGGTTTATTTTTAAATGATTTTTATGGATATGTAGGTTATTGACTTAGTTGTAGACACTTACGGTGATTTATAATCCCTAATTTTGCCAATTATAAGTTTGCTAAGTAGTGATACAAACGATAGACAGCATTAAATTCACTAATCATGAAGCTGCAGTGCAGACTGGTGGCAAGTACATGGCCTTTTTTTTTTTTTTTTTCAGTACAGTGCTAACTTGTCTACTGTGTATTGAGAATTATTGTTGTCCCCATCCCCCCTTTTCCTCTTAAAAATAAAGAAAAATGACACCTTATTTTATGTGGCATGAGTTTCAAATACCTTCTGATGCTTCAGAAATTTCCCTTGTGTGAGCACCCTGTTTTATGTGTAACTCTCCCTCTCATCACCCTCCAGCTGTGTCAGAGTTGGCTTCCAAATATGCTGTCTCCAGCTGCCCTGATGATCACCAGCACAAGTTATAAGAGTAACAGATGTTTGCATGAAGGTCTCAGAAACAGATGAAGAGCTGTCCATCCTCAGTTTTCTGAAGTCAAAATGGGATAGAGCTGATTCTTAAGAAATAAGTTTGGAGTTTCGCAAGTCTGAACTGAATTGAAAAGTAAAATAATATGATATTTTGTACCCAGTAGTACAGTTAAAGTAGCCTTTCTGAATTTGACATATAAATAGCAGATGTAATGTGGAGGCTGAACATGAGCTCATCCATGCCCTGTGGGTCTGCCAGGTACAATTTCTCACCAGCAGTCTGTGCCTTCAGGGCTGTGCATGCTACGTCAACCACTGATAAACACTTTGTGCTTAGAAATGTCATTTCTCTAAGTTTAAAATCAAAATTAAATACCCATGCCACCAGATGAGTAAAATTCATAAATATTATTGCCCCTACAGGATGCCCTATGCTCTTGCTCTTCTTGTCCTACTTGAAGTTTGTTGCAGCTGGTATAGAGGTTTTTTTGATACTGCTGTGGAGTCCTCCTTTTCCATCTTTCCACTGGTTTGGTTGAGATTTCACTTAAAGAAAGCAGCCAGAATCAAATCAGTCCCATAGCTGACACCTGCTCTGTACTTTGGCATCACATTCAAAGATGCAGTAAAATTGCTGCTTTGTACCACTTTAAAAAATTCTTTAGGAGAAGTAGCTGTAATGTTTTAAAAAGTAAAATGGTTGGGGAAAGTAATTACTACGTTTTCTTAAGCAAGAGGAATGAGTGCTCTTGTATGAGGTTCTCATACCTGGTCTCTCCCTTCATCTTAAGATCGATCATACTGTGTGTGCTTCAGTCTTTCAGAAACTCCCATCTTTGGGCTGCCTTAACTTACCTGTGCATGTCCTGTCCTATGCCCTGATGACTTGGCGTGGTGTTCTTTTGTCACTATTTCTTGTTGGTTACAGTGTGTGCATATGTTATTTCTCAGATCCAATAACCAGTGAGTCCAGAATTTGTGCTCTGCCCCTCAGAAAACTAGCACACAAACATTTTTCTCATGTTTTGTCAATGAACATGAAATAAAAACTGGGGTTAAATCCAAGAGAAACTGCCCTGCCATGCAGCGTGGGGCTGGTAAGGTAGAGAGCTGAGCCAACCAGCCAGGAGGGATGTGGAGGAGCACCACTAGGCTGGGCTCTAGACTGACCTGTCTATACTCCAGTTGGAATTTGGGTTGTTTGGTAACACTGCAAGGGTTCCATTCCTGATTCCAGTCTGATAGCTTGCGTCCAGAGATTGTGTATTTGAAATTTATCTCAATCTAAAAATCTGATAGGGTGTACCTCCCAGGATGTTTGGGGATGGATGTGGATAGAGCAAGGATCCTGCATCGTCAAATTTGCCAGAACCCAAACCTGACTACATCCCTTTGAAACCGGTATCAAGTGAATTTTTACAGTCAATGATACTGAATAATTTCTTGATGTTTGTAAATAGCTTTACTGAGATATAATTCCCATAGTAGAGTTCACCCACCTAAGGTACAGAGTTGTGCATCCATCACTGCCTTAATTCACAAATCTTACTGCCCCCAACAGGATACCCTACGCCCTTGCTCTTATCCTCTGATCTTCCAACCCTCTCCCCCATGGCTTTAGCTGACCTTTAACCTCCTTGCCATTGTTACGGATTTGCCTCTGGAGACCCAGCTTCACTGTGTTCCTCTGGGACTAGCTTCTTAGCACCATGCTTTTTCATCCACATTGTCCCATGTGTCAGTATCTTTTTTTTTTTTTTTTTTTCACACTTGGTTCTTAATCTGTGTCACTGGTATCTGCCTTCAGTTTTAGGGCCAGCTGTTTCACTGACAGCACATGAGTCCCTCACCTTTAAGCAAAAGCTGAAGTTAATCTTTCATCCCTCAGTTGCAAAACAGTCCAAAAGCAGCCGCAGAAATAGGTTCCTACCAAGGTACATTGTCATTTGGAGCTTGTTGAAACCCAGGGCTTGCCTCCCTCAAACAGTTTGAATGTCAGGCTCATGATAGGTCAGGTCCAGGGACTCAAGAATTGGAATGCAGACCATTTGGGGAGCCTCCAACCACACCAAGCTAGGGCTGGTGGGCACACTCTCTGTGTTTGAAGATTAGATACGCAGGTTCTCCCAGGTAAATGAAGAGACCTAAGGGCTGGCTGGCTTCCTTTTCTCATGCTGGATAGGTGCATGCACCTGTCTGTTTCAAAAGGATCCTCCTGTCTTGTGCCCTGTGTGTTTTATTGGCATCAAGGATGCTTCCTCAGTGTTGCCTCCCAGGAGGCCTCGTGTACCACTCCCACCCCCACTGCAGGGTTCATGGTTGCGTAAGTGTGGGAACTAGTAAACTTCTGGGAAGTTAGTGGCATTTTGGTCAGTTGAACAAGTTGAGCAACCCTCTGTGTACTAGGCAGTCTTAAGGTATGGTGATCCTGTGGGGAAACAGGAGGGCACTAATGAGTAACTAAAACAATGCTTAGTGTATTCTTGAGGATAAAGCAAAGCCTCTTGCTGTGGCTCATAATTTTTAGCTAGAACAGCATGTAGCTGCCCGAAAAGCTGATGAGAATTTGGACTTTATATAAAACAAGTGAGAGATGATAGGTCACACTTGGATACACTTACACTGAGAGCCAGACCAACTGCAACCTCATCATAGGAGAGCAGTCCTGCTGGAAAGGACACTATAAACTAGTTCTGATAAAGATTGGGTGAAAGAAATAACAACAAATAATTAGTAAATGTAGTTATGTAAATCCCTAAATATAGTCAGCTGAGAACTCCAAAGCTTTGGGGATAGTAATAATGACAGTGATGGCGATGGGATTGTGTGTATTTCCTGTGCACCAGACACCAAGCTGAAGGTTTTATACACATTCTCAGCCTGAGGAAGAGATTCAGTGTACCCCCTGTTGGCTTAATTTATTTGGAGAGGCATCAAGTGGCAGAGCTAGAAAGAGTGTGTAGAGCTTACAGGGCAGCAAATTTGACGATGCAGGATCTTATAGACCGTGGAGAGGGATAGCTGAGTCAAATGGTGGTTCCATTCTAAGTTTTCCAAGGAATCTCCATACTGCTTTCCATATCGGCTGCACCAATTTCAGTCCCATAAGCAATGTATGAGTGTACCTTTCCCCCCCACATCCTCTCCAACACTTATTGTTGTTTGTCTTCATAATGGCTGCCATTCTGACTGGAGTGAGATGGTATCTTAGAGTAGTTTTGATTTATATTTCTCTAATTGCTAGAGATGACTAACATTTTTTCATATATTTGTTGATTGATTGAATATCCTCTTGTTTTATATTAGACAAAGGCACCAAAAACATGCACTGGAGAAAAGATAGCCTTTTCAACAAATGGTGCTGGGAAAACTGGAAATCCATATGCAACAAAATGAAATTAAACCCTTGTCTCTCACCATGCACAAAACTCAACTCAAAGTGGATCAAGGACTTAGTAATTAAGCCAGAGACTCTCCGTCTAATAGAAGAAAAAGTAGGCCCTAATCTTCATCATGTGGGATTAGGCCCCAACTTCCTTAATAAGACTCCTATAGCATAAGAATTAAAACCAAGAATCAATAAATGGGATGGACTCAAACTAAAAAGTTTCTTCTCAGCAAAAGAAACAATCTGTGAGGTGAATAGAGAGCCTACATCTTGGGAGCAAATTTTTACCCCTCACACATCAGATAGGGCACTAATCTCTAGGGTATGTAAAGAACTCAAAAAGCTAAACACCAAAAAAACCCCAAATAACCCAATCAATAAATGGGCCAAATATATAATTCTCTTTGAAGGTCAAACGATGAGAATAGATAATGCCGTGCTTTGGAGTGTGGAGAATATCCCTGTTGGCAGCAAATTTGCTTTTTTAGTTCTGTAATG